CCTATAGATATTTTCAACTCTATTTATCCATTCGTTAATTCTTCGTGCTTCAGGAACCTGCCATAACTTGGGAATCAAACACTTAGCCGCACTAATTAAGTGATAAAGTACTCTATTTTTATATAATTTTGCTGAGGGCTCAAAGTGATAGAAAAAAAAACACCTCCACAGATCTCTTTGTACAGTTATCCCACATATTTCCTGAATGTATTGGATTACTTCCCTCCAGTAATCCTGTATTTTCGGGCAACCCCACCATATATGTGCCATTGTACCTCTTTCCCCACATCCTCTCCAGCACAGAGGTGAACTATTTGTCTGTGAGCTACGTTTGGTGTAATATACCATCTAGTTAAACATTTATAGTTCATTTCCACCATTCTCATATTTGTCACCTCATGTGTTAATTTGAAAACTTTATTCCATTGCTGTGCATTCAATTCTGTTCCAATCTCCTTTTCCCATTTTTTCAAGAACCCTGGAGGATCAGTTCCTTCCGTAGCCATAAGGATCTTATAAATCCTAGAAGTAACACGTTTTGGGGTTATTTTTTCATTTAACAATTTTTCAAATGGATACATGTCCTCCAATGTCCTCAGTGGTTATGGGAGACTTGAAACAAAATGGTTTAGTTGATAAAACCGCCACTCATCATATGTGGTAAATAAATCTTTTTAAAATTTTGAAAAGTGCGCAATTTCCCTTCATTTAATATATCCTTCAAACGTGCATTCTTATCCTTTATCCATTTCCCAAAAATATTACCCTTTCCCGAGGGGAAATACTCGGTTCCCAACAAGGGAGTCAATAATGAATTATATTTCCATCCTGTTTGACTATACATTCTATCCCATATACTAAAAACTTTCCTGGTCAGTGAACTAATGTTAACATCCAATGTGCAAAACTTATGTGGTATCCATACAATCTTCTCTAACTGCGTTACTTAAAATCCCTTCCATATTTACTCATTCTTTCCCTTGTGAATTAAATGTCTAATCTACTAATCGTGATAAAATCACTGCTAGATAGGAATTCCTTACGTTGGGTAAGCCCAAACCCCCATTCCCTTTTACTCTACTCAGGACCTCGTAGCTGATTCTCAGTTTCTTTTTTGCCCATATAAACTTAGTAATTATCTTCTTTATTATCCTGAAAAAAAGACCCTGGAAGGTGAACCGGGAGCATGTGGAACTTATACAAAATTTTTGGCATTATCACAATCTTTACCAGGATTTATGCGTCCTATCCAAGAGGCTCCTCCCTTTGAAAGTCTCCTTAGCGCTTCCTTAATTTCATTTATTAGGGGGATATAGTTTGCCTGATATATACCATTTTATTGAGGGGGTTAATTTTACTCCCAGGTAACCGATTTCCTTTTCCCTCCACAAAAATGGAAACTCTTTTTGTAGACTCAACTTCTCTGAGGTTGATATTTAATATTTCTGATTTTACAGGGTCTATTTTCAAGTTTGATAGCTCATCATACTGTGTTAATACTCTCATTAAGTTAGGCTACGTTATTCTAGGTTTAACAATATAAAACATATGCAGCTACCTTATGCTCCACTTCACCTATCTTTATTCCCGCTATATCTACACACTTCCTTACCCTCGCCAGAATAGGCTCCAAAAAAACAGTACAAACAACAAGGGTGATAGGGGGCATCCTTGAATAGTGCAGTTGTGCATTCTAAAAAAAAAACAGAGAGCGATCCATTAACCTTAACCGCCGCTGAAGGGCTATTATACAATCATTTTATCCATTTTAGGCCCTATTCCTAATTCCTCTAGTGTATCAAACATAAATCCCTAATTAACCCTATCAAAAGCCTTTTCTGCATCTATCGATGAGCGTATTGTCGGCACTCTCGCTCAGCTCTTTGTGCAGGAATCAAGCATCTCAAACCATTATCCCTACCTTCTCTTCCCGGGATAAAACCCACCTGATCTAGATGTACCCATTCCACCTTTAAGACCTTCAGACTCGTTGCCAGCACCTCAGCATATAGTTTAGTGTCTATTTTTAATAATGATATAGGCCTATAACTGGCACACTGTAAGCTATCCTTCCCTTCTTTAAGAATAAATGTTATATGAGCTTTCAGTGACTAATCCCTCATTTCCAACTCCTCCCCCAGTGCATTCATATATCTACACATTTTAGGGACAAGAAGAAGATCTCTAAAACTTTTAAAGTAGGCCACTGTGTATTCATCCGGCCCTGGGTTTTTACCTCCCACCGTGTTCTTTAAAGCAAAGTTAATTTCCTAATAGGACTCTCAAGAGTCTCTAGTTTTTCTTGAGCTAATCGTGGCAACTTCACCTCACTTAAATATTTCTGCCTGATTCTTTTCTTTTCCTCTTCCCTTTTATTTTGATAATCACCGCTCACATCATAAAGTTCACTATAATATTTTTGAAACTTATTAGCATGCAATGTTTCTCCTTTCCCATCTCTAATTTTTTCTATAAAAAGTTTGAATTTCTTACTCTTTAACCTTCTCATTAAGTATTTTCCAGGTCTATTCACCCACTGGTATCTTTCCTTTGAGACCCTATTAAATATCCTCCTCAACTCTTGTTCCATAAGATCTTTTAACTCATCTCTTTTAAGTATTATCTTCTGATACACATCTGTTCCTTTCTTTTTTTTCTATGTAGTGGTTATAAAGCTCTTCTGTCACCATCTTTATTTTTTTTCCTTGTTCCTTTCTTTTTCTGTTCCTATCGAAAATCAGTATTCCCCTAATATAAGCTTTATGTGTTTCCCAGACTGTGGCCACCGAGACCCCCCCCCCCCCCCCCCCCAATTGTAGTGTCCTCTGCAACCCCCTCCCCTCAATGCAGTGTCCTCTGCCCCCTTGATAACAACCCCCCCACCTCCCCACAGAAGTGTCCTCTGCCCCCCTCCTCCCACATTAGTGTCCTGTACCCCTCCCATCCAAAGCAGTGTCCTCTGCCCCCTTCATATCAGCCCTCCCACCGTAGTGTCCTCTGCCCTATTTCCCATAACAGTGTCCCCTTAAAGCAATGTACTCTGCCTTCCATCCCCCAAAGCAGTGTCCTCTGTCCATTTTTCATCACAAACCCCCTCTCTCACTGTAGTGTTCACTGTTCCCTCTCTAACAGTTTCTCCTCACATACACATACACACTGTGCTGTGTAGGAAGCACTTCCTTCCTGCCAGCATGTTTACAGTGGAGATAAGGAGACGGCATAGTGCTGGATGGAAGGGGGAAGTAGGATATGCTGGAGTTAAATATTTCATAACAACAAGCTGGGGATTGAGGCACTCCCACCTCCACCATCCATCCATCACTATGATGCCTCCGACTCTCTACACTGCAGAGAACTTAAGAGTGGTGGAGGCTGGGGAGAGGCAGAGTAATCATGATCCACCAGCCGGCTCCCCACAATCGACAGCTTGCCAACCCCCGTAGCATCCTGAGTTATTCACTAGGAAACTCACAAGAACACCTTAGTTTTAATGTAAAATCAGTAATAAATATATACATGTATCCAATAGCAAATAACGGAAAAAAAAATTGGAATAAAGCTGCCACGTTACGATTGTGATACCAACCACAAATAAACATACAACATAAGCAGTGCTAAATTCCCAAATGAAGTGAATCCCAACTTGATATAAACGCATAAATATAAGTAACCAGTACAATAATATGCAACAAAGAATATATACTGATATACTGATAACAAAAACTTGTTTTACATGAATAATCAACTATTATTCAAAATCAAAAAAGCGCAGAAAAAAAGAAAAAGAAAACGTCCATATAAACAGATCATATAGCCAAATAAAAATTTGCAAAGATGAAAATCTGTATGAAACAGCTATTGTGCCACTAGCTGTGTATCCACCACCATTAAAAGGAGCCTCTTATCAGATGAAGTGGACCATTAGATTATAAAATGGTCAAACAGCGCTCTAGATCATCCAAATCCCAGGAAGACTTCCAGCTCAGTATGCACTTTCCTTCCGGATCACTCCACCACCATTAGTGGTATACCATAGGAGAATAAAATCTGTATAATCCCATGGTGAAGTATATACAAATATTGTTTATTAAAATGCTTGTGCAAAGAAAAAAAAACCCCCACAATTGGTAAAACAGATGCAAATAGACAAATCTCCAGAGTATAGCTATGCAGCCACACAATTTGCGAATAAAAAATCCAACGAAGCAGGTTTAATCAGCTGTGCTGGGCTCCAGGCTCTGGCCTGCATGCGTGATGACATCACGTTGTAGCCACACCCTATGTGTTTTGTCGGAAACGACGTCGTTGGGTGACAGGTAATAGTTATTATACCGATAGTTGATTACTTATGTAAAACAAGTTTTTATTATCTGTATAATTTGTTTTATTGCATATTATTGTACTAGTTACTTATATTTATGCACTTATGTCAAGTTGGGATTCACTTAATTTAGGAATTTAGTGCTGCTTTTTGTTATATGTATAATTGCCAATACTTGTAAAGCAAAAAAAAAGAGCCTTGGATGCAGATGTATGAACAAAATAAAAACTAGCGCCAATCATCTTAGACCCCACCTACACCATATTAATACACAACAAATAAACAACTGATTTTTAATAAAGATTTATAGGGAGCTGCAAAACAGTTTGATATTTATGATTTATTTTGAATTGCTCTTTTTTTAGTCATTGGACTGGCACAGCAGCAATCAGGGCTGTGCAGACAAACTCATACTGTAGAAAGCATACAGAAGCAGAGTAATAGAAACCCTTCCCAAGAATCTTTCCCTGCAGATACCAAAGAACAGGGAAAAAAAACAAGGATTTAAAAAAAATTTATTTTCACGATATACAGTATATGATTTATTTGAACGAGTTAAGGCAATTAACACTTCTCTGTTCAGTATCAGAGCTTCCCTTGAAATAAGACATTTCAACTGCATTGCTGAATATAAACATTTATCCATGAAGGATTACAATAAGCATTACATTGGAATTACCTTTCTCTTCGTGACAGTTCTTTTGGACCTTCCAGCTCAAGCTGGGTGACCTTTTTAGATGCCTGTGCTGCTCGATTGGGATTCTCTATGTCAATAAGGCCTTCAACTCCTTTACGCTTTTGCTAAAAAAAAAAAGAGACATATCGTAAAATATTTAATGTAAAATAAATGTTATTCATCCAAAAGTAAACTAACAAACACAAAAACAGAGTAGCTATGCAGTATAACTGACTATGGGTTTACGATGACTCATTTAACAAAAAAAAAAAGACAACACACACAACACAAAAAAAAAAAAAAAACACGAAGAAGAAGAAGATGTAAAGCAAGTAGAAAAGCCTGCTAAGGGATTGAACAAATATAGTCACCATCACAGACCTGTAATTACAAACTACCCAACAAAGCCATAAAATTATGACCACCCACCATAACCCATCATGGACACCACTAGATCTCTGAAAGTATGCTATAATATCTGGCACTAAGCCATTCATATAAGATCATTTAAGTCCTGTAAGTTGTAAGGTGGGGCCTCCATGGATTGGACTTGTTTTTCCAGCACATGCCACAGATGCTCAATTAGTCTGAGATCTGGAGAACTTGGAAGCCAAGACAACACATTCAACTCTTTGTTGTGTTTCTCAAGCCATTCATGAATTCATAAGACCAGGACACCTTCTTCCATGGCATTATGCTCCCGGTACCCTGATCAGTCTGTGGCTACGTAACCCAATACACAACAAACTGCAATGCACTGTGTGTTCAGAGACCTTTCTTTCGGAACCAGCATTAACTTTTTCAGCAATTTGAGCTACAGTAGCTCTTCTATTAGATCAAACTACTCGGGCCAGCCTTCACTCCCCATGTAAATCAATGACCCTTAGGCCACTTATGACCTTATTGCTCATACCACTTTTGGTAGGTTTTGACCACTGCAGACTGGGAACATCATACAAGAGCTGTAGTTTTGGAGAGGCTCTGACCCAGTTATCCTAGCCATTACAACCTAGATGTTGTCAAAGTTGCTTAAATCCTTACGCTTACCCATTTGTTAGTGCATTCAATACAACTTTAGGGATATGTTCCCTTGCTAACGAATATATCCCACCAACTTTCAGGTGCCACAGAGATGATCAATGTTATTCACTTTACCTGTCAGTGGTCATAGTGTTATAGCTGAACACAGTATATTGTTGATTGATTTATTGTTACTGTGAATAAATTCCACAACAAAATTACAAACAATGGAGAAGTCCAACACAAATACAAATCACAACCAACTGCACATACACACATATTCATAAAAACATTTTACACAAACATCCCTTAAAATAGCAGGAAAAAAATTACCATTTATTACCTAACCTTAAATTCCCATTTACTGCCTGTGGAAAAAAAGCTCTCCCTGTATCTTTGTTCTGGCTTTAATATTCCTATATACTCTACCAGAGGGCAGCAACTCAAATAAGTGATAACCAGGAAGAAAGGAGTCACTCCTTATTTTCTCCGTTCTTCCAAGGAAGTGGAAATCATAAATTTCCTCTAGGGATAGAAATCTACAACCCACTATTGTCTACGCAGTAGAAATTATTTTCTGAAGAGCCTTCTTGTCTGCTACAGTGCAGTTTGGGTACCATACTATGATACAACACACCAATATGCTCTCGATTGAAGAGCGTTAAAAGGTCCATTCTTCCACAGTATAATCATTGCTGGGATTTTGATTCTCAGAAATATACAACCCCAGAAACCTGAAAACAGAGACCCTTTCCACACATTCAGCTTTTATAAAAAAGCAGAACTATTTCAGTCTTGTTCTTTCTGAAATCAACAACTAGCTCTTTAGTTCTTCCCATTTTCAGTGTTAAATTATTTTACTGCACACCACCCCACTATCTTTTCTTCCTCCGCTTTATAACATTCCTTATCCCCACCACTGATACAACCGACTACTGTAGAATCACCAAATATAATAATGCTGTTTGTATGAGAGTGCAGTGTACAGTTATAGGCACAGAGCACAAACAAAAGAGGGATCAATACACAGCTCTGTGGAGATCCTATATTTAATAGCATATATTTAGTAACAAGATTTAACATGCCAACAAATGCTGGTAATATCTAGGCTTACCATACACAGTACAATCTCCCTGTGTAATCTTTGTACAATGAACTTTAGATCTATCCAACTATGTAATATGAGCACCTAGCTAAACTATTCAATCAATATGTATCCAGGCAGGCCCTTAAAAAACATACTTGTTGATAGATCTAGATGAGACTAGAATCAGATTGTAACATGTGTGATGAATTTAAAGCGCGTGTTCAGCCAAAACTTTTTTTTCTCCTTGTTTTAGATTGTGTGGGAAAGGGTTAAAGCCCTGTTGGGTTTTTACTGATATATGGGGTTTTGTTAGAGAGATTCCCCTTCGCTTTCTGTTCTGATCATGTTATACCAGACATGAAGTTAGGAATAATCTACTAGAGCAGAGGCAGAAGAAAATAAAAAGGCCTTTGTTTTGTAAAATAGAGGAAAGCTAGAACCCATATTTCTCCCAGCGTCTTCCAGGACAGCCCCTTGAGATGTAGAGCTCCTCCCTCTGGGACAGGAAACACATAATCCCAAACCTTTAAAAGCGGACCTCCAGGCCTCCATCCTCAGTTTTTAATGTTTTCCGCACTAGAAGGAGTACACGTTTAGGAACCTGATGGGTCTCTATACTCTAGTGGCAGCCTGGAAGAATGGAAGCTCCCGTTGTTGATAACTTACCTACTCTCTCAACACGATCCCTCCATGGTGATTGGAGTGGGGCTGCTCGCCGGATGCCCTTCAGTCCTCAGTGGAGGAGACCGCCGGAGAGGTTACCCGCAGAGGGACCGGGCTGTGTGCCCGGCTGTGAGCCGCCTGGAGCATCCAATTCCCCAATGAGCTCTTGCTGCCCTCCCTCCCCTTCTCCAGCACAGGCAGCACAGTGGTGCAGAGCCGCCGGGAAGAAGGAGGGCAAGGCGTGACTTTAGGGGGCGGGTCTATGCGCTCCAGTGACAGAAAGTCCGGCGCAGTGACGGCATCGACGGGCGCCTGGAGATGCGGGTTTTGGTCTCTGCTGAAGAAGGCACAGGCATCCGGATTGGGCGGCCGGTGAGGCGTTGAAACCCAACAGAGGCTGCAGACCATGCCTATCAGGACATCATGGAAGCTGGCTCTTCTCAGCAAGCAGACCCGGCTCCTCTCAGGTAGACTTGGGGACGGGGTTCCTCTGACTCCTGGGGGGGGTGGGGGTGGTGATTGTTTTTCCCCCAGTCTCTGAGGGCAGGTGACGATGGGGCACACTTCCCATTCTCCCCCAGCACAGTGGTGTTTGGTTGAGGAGATAGGGGCTGAGGGTCCTCTTTATACTGTTTTGTTTCTTGCGTAGGTTAAGACCCAGGACAGGACCCAGAGTCAGGCACCAGAGAAGAAGTGTGCAGTGTGCGCAGTTAAGTTGGGTTCTACTTGTGAAAAACTCTCATGTCACAACTGTGTAGATAGCCTGGTTAAGGATGAGTCTTTTACAGCCTGTCACAAAGTTCTCACCTCCATTAAGGATGACATGACAGCTATGTTCCAAACCTTCAGATCCCTGCTGGATAGGATGCAGACACCGCTGGGCCCTTGGACCCAGTCGACCGGTATGGCAGTATCAGCAAGGCAGGAGGACCTGGAAGAGGACCCTCGGTCCCTTGCTTCTTCTCAGGCAGGTTCAGGTTCAAAAGGAGGACAACGAGGAAGAAATTAGCTCCTCCAAAGGTTCCAGGGAAAAGTTGGCCCTGGATGATGTGGATGACGAAAACCTTAGAGATTGAAGAGGAGGAAGTTTGTTTATCTAAGCATGACCTCATGTAACAGGGTCTTCATGCCAAGAAGACCCTGAAAGGAAGCCCTTTTTTCAGGTAATCTAAAAAGATTTCCTTTTTCAAGGAAGATGGGTCCCAGCCTTGGAACAAAGTTCCAAAATTGGATGCCCCCTTATCCAGAGTTTCCAAGAGGATGGACTTGGCATTTGAGGATATGGGGGCCCTAAAGGATCCCATGGATAAGAGATGGGAGATCTTGCCTTGCAGAGCATGGGAATCCTCTATTAGCCTTAAGCCGGCTCTATCGGCCACCTGTGTTCCCAGAAACCACGAGTGCTGGCTTACCCAGTTGCAGACACACTTGGCAGCAGGAACCTCCAGGCAGCAGATCTTAAAATCCTTGCCTTTACTGTTTAAAGTGGTAGGTTCTCTCGCGGATGCCTCAGAAGAATCAGTGAAACTAGCCGCAAGGAATTCGGCCCTGGTAAACGCAGTCAGGCGGGCTCTATGGTTAAAAACCTGGGCAGGGGATTCAGCATCCAAGCTGCGCCTTTGTGCCTTGCCCTTTACAGGTGACAATCTATTTGGTCCTGGTCTACAGGAAGCCTTGGAGCGTACAAGGTTTCTGGAAAGTAAAAAGAAATCTTACTCCAGGAAGGTTTTTCATCCAAAATCGCAGGTACAGCAGATCAAGGATGTTCAGCCCAAAAAACATTGGATGGGACACAAAAATAGGGGAAAAGGGGAGATTCTATTCAATCCTCCTCAAGGCCCCTCCAAGCTTCAATGACACAATTCCAATGGGCGTCCCAATGGGAGGAAGACTGGATACCTTTCTCCCTCAGTGGGTTTCAATCTTCCTGAACCCCTATATTCTGGACCTGATAGAAAGGGGGTACGAGTTAGAGTTCGACTCCTGTCTCCCCTGCAAGATTCCTGGTGACAAATCTTCCCAAGGACCGAAACAGGGCACAAGCTCTTGTGGCCTAATTGGAGACTTCGTGGACCAGCAGGTCCTAGTTCAAGTCCCTCAGAGCGAGCAGGGGAAGGGATGTTATTCCCATGTGTTTGTAGTGGGGAACCCTTCAAGCAAGTTTGCCTGATCTTAAACCTGCGCCCCTTAAAATTGATCAGAGGTACAAGCACTTCAGGATGGAATCGATCTTCTCTGTAAAGAACATCCATTACCCAGGTTGTTTTATGGCCACGTTGGATCTGAGGGATGCGTATTTCCATATTCCCATTCGTCAGGCGAGTCTGAAATACCTGAGAATATCAGTAAAAATGGGTTTACAGATCCTCCACTGGCAGTGTCGGGCTCTACCCTTTGGGCAAGCCTCAGCGCAAAGAATGTTTACAAAAGGTGTTTGCGGAGGCCTTAGTTCCCCTAAGAATGAGGTCTACTACCATCGTTCCTTATCTGGACGATCTTCTGTGGCCAAATCTCACCAACAGTTGGTAGAAGATCTGCAGGTGGCTCAGGATTTCCTTCGGAGCCTGGACAGGCTCATAAACAGGGACAAAGTCATCTTTAACTCCCTCCCAGAAAGTGACCTATCTGGGATACAAGATTTTTTCGGTGGAGAGAATCTACCTTCCTCGGGAAAAATTTCTCAAGATAGATCAGATGCTAGCAGAGTTGCAGTGCAATCTGTCAGTGTCAATAAGGAAGATTTCAAGGGCAATGGGTCTCATGACTTCATGTTTCCCGGCAGTCCTGTGGGCAAGATTCCACCAGCAGCCTCTTCAGGCTTTTCTTCTGAAGATTTGGAATGGGGACAGGTCTGCTTTAGATCTGGCAGTCCAGCTCCTGTCCATAGTCAAGAGGTCCCTCTGGTAGCGGCGGAAGAAAGTCAATCTGGCCAGAGGTCTGAAGTGGAACCCTCCTTCTCCGCTTATTATTACAAACAATGCCAGCAGTTATGGTTGGGGAGCCCATCTAGGCAACACGGTGGCCCAGGGGTTTGTGGTCTCAGAAGGAGACTCAGAGATACTCAAATCAGACACAGCTTCTAGCAATCCAAAGGGCATTGGATGCCTTTGAAGCGGAGCTATTGGACCGCCACCTGCAGATCCGGTCAGACAATATGGCTACAGTGGCGCATATCAACAAGCAACGGAGCACACGAAGCCCCTCTCTGCAGGTGATTGGAAGCAGCATTCTATCCTGGGCGTTCAGTCAGTCACAACGAATGGTCCCTCAACCAAGAGGTGTTCTCAAGCATAACTGTCAGGTGGGGCATGCCAGAGGCTGATCTCTTTGCTTCCCAGGAGAACAGGAAGGTCAGCTGATTCTTTTCCCTAAATCCGCGAGAGCAGGCCTTGGGGGTGGACGCCTTGATGAGCACGTGGGATTTCAACCTCTGTTACACATTCCCTCCAGTGAAACTGATCCCAGAGGTCCTGCAGACGTTTCTGATAGAAAAGACAAATCTCATTCTGATAGCACCATTCTGGCCAAAGAGAAAGGGAGGATCTGATCTCTCAAGGTCCTGTTCTACATCCTCGGATCAGAACCTTGAAGTTGGCTGCGTGGTTTCTGAAGAACAACTCCTGAAAGCTCAGGGGTTTTCGGACACCGTAATCAAAAACCTTGGTGAACTGCCGTAAACCAGTAACTAGAGCTATTTATGCTAAGGTCTGAAAGAGATTCAACTCCTAGTTGCTAGGTAAGCGGCAGGGCCCTCCAGACATTCCGGCAGTTTTGGATTTCTTTCAAGAAGAGGCAAATCAGGGGCTCTCGATCAGCACCTTAAAAGTGCAGGCTTCGGCCCTTAGTATTTTCCTTCAGGTCTCCCTGCAGTAAGATCCCTTTGTAATAAATTTTTCAGGGCTCTCTCCAAGTCCAGACCAACAAAGGTCAGGTCTTGTCCAGTTTGGGATCTGTCTTTGGTCCTAAAGGTCTTGGTCCTCTGTCCCTTTGAACCTCTAGAAAAGTCTTCTATAAAATTTTTGACTTTAAAAACCAAGATTTTTGGTAGAAATCACGTTAGCCTGTAGGTTAAGTGAACCAGACTCGGGAAAACCGCTAGGGGGGGTTAAGTGTTTATGTCTTTCAGTGTCTTCTGGTGGTTCTCAGGTAAAACTGAGGATGGAGGCCTGGAGGTCCGCCTTTAAGGTGCTGGGATTATGTATTTCCTGTCTCGGAGGGAGGAGCTCTACGTCTCAAGGGGCTGTCCTGGAAGACTCGCAGAAAAGCAGTTAACGGTAAGCCTAACTCTGTTTTTTTTATTTAGCCTCAATTCCCTTGTTGCAGATTTTTCCCACAATTCCTGAACAGTGAAACCATTATCAGAAGCACAGAAAGCGAGATGTCCCTAATAAAGCACTGGCAAGAGTTCTATTCCTTTGCCGCTCTATCCAAAAGTAGAAACACACAGCTAAAAACCCTGCAAAGGTTATAAATTTCCTTTAAACAGTTGTTTCAACCTCTAGCTAAATGTGACAGTTAAGTTTGATGTGCATCCATCAGCCTCTAGATACCTGATATATGCTATTTAAATATCCTCTTCATTATTGGTTTCTCAGAAACGTAAGTCCTCATTCACATGAGCGCTGAGGCCTGTACAGTGTGAATGAGGTTTGTTTACGTGTCTGGAGCCACCTGTAAGTTGCATGCAGGCAGCCTATGTTAGAGAATGGAGATGCAGTAGCTGTAGCACTCATACACACATCAGGGACAGGTGCCTTAACTGTGGCCTAAATTTGTTTGCCTTTGAAAACATTTTTAAACAAATCTCCAATCTTTACGTTTTGGAAAAGTGGGGAAGTATTGTAACTTGTCAGATTTTATTGGCATTTCTTTTTTAGGGAATTTTCCCACCAAGACTGAAGTATTAAAAGGTTTCCTGATCATTGACAGCAACAAAAAATGTGAGAAACTCAAACCCTTCTCCATGCTACAAAATAAAAATGCATGATTGTGAATAATTGCAGTTTTCTGCACAGAAGAACACAAGTCACCACATGCCGCACTCACAGGATGTGCAGTGTGAAAAAACAATGCAGACATACTGCAATTTTCTGTAGCAAATGCCACCACAGGCCAATGCAGTACATCACACCACACTGCTGTGCAGCAGGACTTGAATAGAACATACATCACTACACTCTGAAAGTTTAAAAATGAAAAAAAAAAAAAAAAAAAAGTAAAAAGTAGGATGTGCTCATACTGCACATCCCACCACCCTCTCACCGCTTGGCAGCAGCCAGCAAGCTAAAATGAAATGTTTTATCATACAGATGTTGGGAAAATGCCCTTATACCTTTACAGAAAATCAAAGGGAAATCTTCCCAAAAGACACAAAAAGAGAAGTAGGGCTAAAGCCTGCTGTTGGCTGACATCAGCAGGTCCAGACTCTTGAGGGCCCCTGCTTTAACCAGCTCCAGCAACATACCCGTATGTCGCAGGAGTTTGAGCTGTTATATCGAGATGATAGCTGCAGGCATCATCCCTGTACCAATTTTTTAGAGCCGATGTTCGGCTCTTTTGTAATAGCAATTGGAGCAGCTAACTAGCCGCTCGATTGCTATTGCAAGCATTGGGAGGGTATGTCCCATTCCTCCCGCAGTTTTAACGGGATCTCCTATCCCACTGGGAGTCCCGATCGACCAGCCGACACTTCCGCCAACTGATCACAGAGCCGAAAAAAAAGACTAGATCAGCTTTGTTCAGTGTTCAGTTCTGTGATATAATAACTGGGAAGCGATGGCATAGCATAGACTACATGAAGGTAAAAATCCTTGAGCCTTTAGAACCACTTTAATGTCGGAATCTACCCAGATCCCTGACTGGCAGCTGGCTCAGCCTTTAAACCTGCTGCTGAGAGCCTGAGCCAGCTGCTCCCACCCCTTTCACAGTCCAGCATCCAGTGAGTGCTGGAGAGGCAGAACAGAGAGCTCTGCTCACTGAGGACCGAGAACTGAGCAATCAGTGTTCTTTGAAGCAGGGGGACAGATGCAGCAACGCATTGATGCTGCATCCACCTAAGTGGGCTTGAATGGGTTATCAGGTCAGTGTATTCAAAATCAGTATCAATCAGTATTACCATATTTAGTATATGTTGTCGAGAGATTTTGGTGGTGGTATTTTGTAACCAAGTTTAAGTTTGGGGTCTTGTACCCCAAACCTGCTTTCACCAATAATACCTGGTAGTCAGTAAATAAAAAGCCTGTTTATAACATTTAAAATACATTGCTGTGTGAAGGTCTTTATTTAAAACTATGGTCCGACACTAAAAATTAATTGACCATAAACATTTTATAGCAATAAAAATTTGCAGAACTATGTTTACATTTTTAAGATTTTGTAATTGGGTATTTTTTCCTGGTTAGAGGGCTAGAATTATATTGTCCATTTGTTGTCAACTCCTCCACCCAAGACTGGCTAGTTAAATTATAAACCGGTTGAAGAGCTCTTATGTTATTAAAAACATACCCACCCCAGTGTTTTCGAACATACTTTAGCTATAGACATTAGGAGTATGGTCCCAGTGCATGGGAATTTACTGCAGCGTTGCGGGTCAGCACCACTAAAGAGTTTATGCCCACAAATGCAAACATCAAACAAGGCCACCGCTGTTATGTGGAGGCAAGTAAGCACCTTAGGGGTTTTTAGTTTAGATGAGGGGGTTAGGGAGTGTGGGCTGTGCTTTTTGTAACATACTAAGATAAACATGAGCTAAGGGAGTTTACCATTAGAAGAAATGGCTGGTTTAAATGTGGCTTTTCAGTCATATCTGCAAAATTACAAATTAGTATTTTCTTCTTTTATTTCCCTCCAATGGAAAAAAAATTTGTGAAGTCAGACTGACACCACCCACCAGGTTTAGATTCAAACAAGATCAAGGTAAGCAAAGAGAGCCGAGCAAACTCAAGTGATTGTTGTATTCCAGTCATGGCATCCATATTTGAAGGAATTTTCAGAATGTATCATTAAGTGTAGCAGTCAACTTCTCATGCAACATAACAACCATCAGCCTCCCATTCCACCTCTGATAAATTAATGGTTAGCTCCGCTTCCATGCTCTACCCAGCATTTGCCTAGCCGCTAGTAGCGGCTGTGTTTGTAAAAAAGGGTCTAGGAGTTTTTTCTTAATTTCCCACAGATACAGCAGCCAATTTGAATGAATAGGCTGCTGTGCATGCACAGGCACAGACAGATGTAAACCTAGACTAAGGAAAAAACTAACACGCAGATGAAACTTTATTAACATATATATATATATATATATATATATATATCTCAGCATGCTTACCTGGTAATCATCATCTTCATCGCTCTCATCTGAACTCTGATCCTTCTTTTCCTTGGTGGGGTCTTTGGAGACTCCCTCACCACCTTCTTCAAGTTCTGCTTCCTGTATAGAAAAATTATTGTTAAAGATGTTGCTCCATATTTCTTAAAGTGTATTTAAACACAAACACCAAAAATACTGGTAAACATGGTACTGTAATGTCAAAAAAGTGTATTATTTTTTCTGCAAGTTCTGTTTGCAATATAAGTGGTATTAAAGTGTTACTAAACCCAGGGCCCTGCATTCACTATATCTGGTCTTCCACAGTACACAGAACATGGAAATGCAATTATTTCTGTAAATATAAACTGATAAATACCTTTTCTTACCAGCAATCAGAGCAGTCTTGCGACTTCACTATCAGTGTCCAGTAAAGCACTGGTTAAAGCTTGTAGGAGGCGTTTTCATGCTCCCCTGATTGTCCTATGAGCCTGCAGGACCACTGACCCCAAGAACTGATTGGCCTTGTGCTAATCACATGCACTCTCTCAAGGACAAAAAAGAAACAAACAAAAAAAAAAAAAAAAAAACAACCCTCTCTAGCAATACACACCAAACTGAGCATGTTCATCTTGCCCCCAAGGCTCTGTTCTATCTCAAAAGATGGATTGAGAACTGTGGGAAGAAGGGATCAGAGAAGACAGGATCAAACATACTTTTTTACACAATGCAGAGGACTAACCTCTTAGGTTCCACAGTGAGTATAACAAGCATGCTTTACGGCATATACAGACTGATTTTACCGTTGTGGGCTTAGTAACACTTTAAATCCATGAGCAGACATTTATTATATTGCAGCTTACCAAGTCTCAGATGTGGTATTTGCATTTGGTTTTCATATTTAGGCTCGCTTTCCTTTTATTTTCCATTGGTGATCTGGCCAGTAAGTCTTTTGTTTTTCAGCAGAACGGGCTGTCCAACAAATGAATCAGTTAAGAGTGTTGAGACAAACCATTTACCACTGATAGGGTGCTTATAATGATCTGCTTTTATTCATGTAAAACCTTTATCCCAAATGGAAAAAAAAATGTTGTTGTAACTGTAGCATGAGCTGGTGTTTTGGCTTCAATTTGTTAATGTATCCAAATCTGCTAGTACATCTAATGCTCCGCTCCCCCAGCGCAGACTGACAATGCTGCTGTCCAAAGGTGCCCCGTGTGCTCCTTCATCCAGAGTTGGGGCACTAATACAGGAGGTGAGATCACCAGGTGAAAACAGAGAGGGAAAAAGCCTAAAAAAGAAAATAAAGAAGCCACCACATCTAATGATTTTTAGGCTGCAAACCAAACATACATAATCAGTTTTTTGTTTTAGGTTACCCTTCCCTTAGTAGATTGATTTTGAGAATGTCCCATCTTCACTGTATTTCTAGTTAGGGGTTTAAGCCCCCAGCCTTTGAGGATCAGTCATCCAACCAGCATGGGCAGCAGTATTTACTGGAGGAGCCAAATGCAACAGAACTTTACGGTATCTTTAGATTCTTGTCATTTTTAATGAGGGCAACCACACGACAGATCTGCCATCTCAGTTTAGTGACAATGTCAGCAGGTCAGTGCTATTCCAGACTGTTGCTTCCCAGTCCTCCTCTTTTCTGAGTGTCCCCATAGCGAGCTGCTTGTTATAGAGACACTCGTGTGGGCACACTCCCATACAAGGCTGTGTGCATCAAAGACATACACAGCGCAGCTCGGTACCACCCCGGCTCCCTCCTCACAGGATCTGATTGACAGCAGCAGAGAGCCAATGGCTCCTGCTGCTATCAGCAAAGCCTGTGTGACCAGGAAGATAGGAGAAGAGTTATGCAGATGTTATGAATCAACCAAAAACTTTTCAGCCTAAAGTACCTTTGTAGCACCCCCATGTGCAGTTCCACCCATAATACTTCAGCCTCATCACACTCTCCATCAACTACACTCACTCTGAGATCACTTCTCACATAGAGACAGGAAGATGACACAAAGTTGTGCAGTGGATTAACGTCCTTACAAGATGTCTTCAATTTACAAGCCGACCTCAATGCACTGTTTAATTCGGCAACTATGTGGCAAATGAGGTTTAATGTTGATAAATGTAAGGTTATGCACTTGGGAGCTAAGAATATGCATGCATCATATATACTAGGGGGGAGTACAACTGGGGGAATCAATGGTGGAGAAGGATCTGGGGGTTCTGGTAGATCACAAGCTTAATATTGGCATGCAATGCCAAGCTGCGGTTTCTAAAGCGGCAAAATCCTCTCTTGTATTAAAAGAGGTATAGACTCCAGAGAGAGAGATATCATATTACCCCTGTACAAATCATTAGTAAAACCTCATCTGGAATATGCAATTCAGTTTTGGGAACCAATTCACAAAAAGAACATTGGGGAACTGGAGAAAGTACAGAGAAGGGCAACCAAACTGATAAGAGGCATGGAGGAGCTCAGCTATGAGGAAAGATTAGAGGAACTGATTTTTATTCTCTCTTGAGAAGAGGAGATTAAGGGGGGATATGATGAACATGTATAAATACATCAGTGGTTCATATAGTGAACTCAGTGTAGAGCTATTCACCCTGAGGTCATCACAGAGGACAAGGGGGCACTCTTTACGTCTGGAGGAAAAGAAATGTAATCTCCAAACACAGAAAGGTTTCTTCACAGTGAGAGGTGTGAAAATGTGGAATAGACTCCCTCAAGAGTTGGTTCTGGCCAGCTCAGTGGATTGCGTCAAAAAAGGCCTGGATTGTTTCTTAGATACACAGAATATAACTGGATACTAACATTTATATGTAAAGTTGATCCAGGGAATATCCGATTGCCTCTCGGGGGATCAGGAAGGAATTTTTTTTTCCCCAGCAGGAGCAAATTGGATCATGCTTTGCTGGGTTTTTTTTGCCTTCCTCTCGATCAACTGTGGGTATAGGATTATAACTTTTTTTTTTTTTTTCTATGGTTGAACTAGATGGACTTTTGTCTTTTTTTCAGCCAGACTATGTAACTATGTAAACAGATCCAGTTTCTCCCTGACTACATTTTCCAAAGGACAATAAATAATACGAGAGTTGCCATAGCATTTTTTTTTATGAAGGTCCAGGTCCTTTCTTTATTACTTAGTAGCTCACCAGTCGAGAAAAGGCATGACCATATCTAGGCATCTCGAATATATCTATTTGTATAGGTCAGTGATTTACTAAGGTAGGATAGCAAAGATATCCCTGGATCATTTACTTTCAAGTACAAGTCAGCAATGGCAGCTCCTATATTTCTAACATGACAGGTGTCACTTCCTTTCTTATTTTTGCCACTTTATCACATTTCAAATTATGCATTCATGAAGTTCTTGTATGCAGAAAGTGACGGTTGCCACCCCTCTGATCTGTAAGGATTAGCTGCACATACAATTTTTATATAACTTTTTCTATGTTTGAGGTACAAAAGGGGTCAGTCATTTATAATCCAATTCAAATGACTGGAGATCACAAAAACAAAAAGGAGGACTCATTTGTTCACAGTTATGGAGTCAGGTGTTAAAGGGCAATGTGAAAGCAGCTCTATGCCAGATGTCTCCGATCTGACCAACTCTCTAATAAATAGCTAAAGGCAGACAGTGATTGCAATGCATTAGTCTAGGTTCACACCAATGCGTTTTCTGCTGTGTTTTGAAAAAGCAGCAGTCCATTTAACATACTTTCCTGTGGGACAGGTTCACATCTCCGTGTTTTCACCCTGTGCGTTTTTTGGAAAGGGTCAGGGACTTTGTTTAAATGCAAAACGTTGCATTTTTGGTTCTATAGACTTCAATGGAGACGCTGCAGAAAAGCATGTAGTGCAATTTTGATGTGTTTTATTCTGCCCAGCAACAAGTTAAAAAAAACACGCAAAACGCTTTAAAAACACGTGAAAAAGTGCAAAACTCACCACAAAAAGAACTGCAGAAACGCATCAAGCGAAAACTGCATAGGTGGGAATCTAGCCTTAGCAGGTGCGAGAGCCAAATTGTTTGACTAGTTGGAGCCATGGTGTGTGCTACACACGACTAAAAAAAACATCATCAAAGTACACAGGATGTATATGTACATGTATTCCTTCTGCCCTGCTGCTGCGCCTTCCGTCCCAGAATTCTTGACTCTTTAAAGCATCAATGGTTAAAATGTAAAGTTATATATTCAATTCCACATTGTAATTCAGTTATTTCTAGCCTACTCCTGATATTATGAATGAACTTGAAGTTTGTAAACTTCAACATTTTGCAAATAAATAATCTTTCCAAAAAAAAAAAATGTATTCTGCTAATTTCTTTGGTGAAAAAAATCCAAATTAGTGTTTATTATTTAGTCTGTAGAAAAGTTATAGAGTCTAAAAAGTATGGCATATATCTGAAGAAAAAGAAAATTGATAAATTCTGATGTACTGAAGGCTGAACTCATTTCTTGAGGCTCAACAATGCCAAGACAGTACAAACACCCCCCAAATGACCACTTTTCAGAAAGTAGACAGTCTGAGGTATGTAATAAGGGGCGTGGCGCATTTTTTAGGTTGTTGCTTTCTTTGGCATAATTTTGTGAATATTGAATAAAAAAAAAAAAAAAAATCACAATTTTTTTTTTTCTTTTTCACATACCGTCACCAATGCAGTACATAACTGGTGCGGCGGTGATTAGGAACACTAACTGATTTTTTTTTTTTTACTCCTGTGACCAAAGCAATACAATGTTTTCATAGTAACATCGTACTACTCTGAAAAGGTTTGTTTTTTATTATAATTTTTATTACACAATATGATTGCTTATACCAGTGAATTTCATTGGTATAAACAACCATTTTTAGAGAATAAAATGGATTCATTCAGTAGATATTGTTGTGATCAGCTGTGAGTTGTCACAGCAGATCACATGGTACAGATTGGTCCTGTCTGTACCATGTGATCAATCACAGCTAGCAACACAGTTGTAATTGATGGCATGGAAGGAAGCCATTAATTGTTTACAACTGACATGTGATCTGCTGTGATTGGCCACAGCAATCACATGACACTGGCAGCGGACCGATATAGTGTTCAGTCATTGACTATGTTTGGTGGATACAGCCTGTGACAGATCGTGCTGGACCGCGACCCGTGATCCTGGGAAGACGTCCTCCAATGATAATAGGGATCCCGCCTGGTCATCATATTAAAATAGGCCGGGCAGGAAGGAGTTAACTTAATGGCAGGAGTTCTTGTGTGACTACAGCAGCTCTAGGCAAAAGCTGCTGTCAGAACAAAAAAAACAATCTGACTCTGTGGTTATCAACCCTCTTCAGATGTGAAAGAGAGATACAGATTAACATACTACTAATAGCTACTTTTGTATCTACTCTGTTATTTTGTATCTACTGTTTCACTCATCTGCAAAGCAAAGGGATGAGCTTCAGAGTATAGCATCAAGTCAATAAACTCCTGGGATATTGATCTGGTCAGTTAAGCAGCAGAGAGGGTTGTTAATCAGTTTCAGCTGCTTTGGTGTTAGGGTCAGTTCACACTTTAGAAATGCAGTTCTGGATGCGTTTCCGCATGCACTTTTTTTATGCGTTCCAGTGCTTTTTTTATGCGTTCCAGTGCATTTTTTTAAGCATTCCAGTTCCTCCCCTCTTTTTCTTCAATTTAAATAGGGACATGTGTGTTCCAGCATGTTTTTGATGCACTTTACCACCTTCCAGTACAAGTATGTGCAGAAAAAAATGCAACATGTTCTACTTTTTTTTCTGCAACCAGAACGCAGAGGAACTGCAAGCACTGATGTGAACTATGACATTGACAACCATATAACCTACTTTCTGCGCATTTTGAATGCAGAAATAAGCAGCTGAAACGCATCTAGTGTGAACTGGCCCTCAATGAAATTAACAGGTGGACTAGATGGGCAGCAATGAGACGACCCCCAAAACAGGAATGGGTTTACAGGTGGAGGTCACTGACGTTTTTTTCCCTACTCATCTTTTCTGACTGTTTTTCACTAGTTTTGCACTTGGCTAGGGTCAGTATCACTACTGGAAGCATGAGGCGATACCTGGACCCTACAGCGGTTGCACAGGCAGTCCAACTCCTCCAGGATGGCACATCAATACATGCCATTGCCAGAAGCTTTGCTGTGTCTCCCAGCACAGTCTGAAGAGCATGGAGGAGATTCCAGAAGACAGGCAGTTACTCTAGGAAAGCTGGACAGGGTTGTAGAAGGTCCTTAACCCATCAGCAGGACCAGTATCTGCTCCTTTGTGCAAGGAGGAACAGGATGAGCACTGACAGAGCCCTACAAAATGACCTCCAACAGGCCACTGGTGTGAATGTCACTGACCAAACAATCAGAAACAGACTTCATGAGGGTGGCCTGCGTGCCCAACGTCCTCTAGTGGGCCCTGTGATCTCTGTCCGCCACCATAAAGGTCAATTGGCATTTGCCATTGAACACCAGAATTGGCAGGTCTGCCACTGGTGCCCTGTGCTTTTCACAGAAGAGAGCAGGTTCACCCAGAGCACATGTGACAGATGTGAAAGGGTCTGGAGAAGCCGTGAAGATTGTTATGCTGCCTGTAACATCGTTCAGCATGACCGTTTTGGTGGTGGGTCAGTGATGGTCTGGGGAGGCATATCCATGGAGGGACGCACAGACCTCTACAGTATAGACAATGGCACCCTGACTGTCATTAGGTATTGGGATGAAATCCTTGGACCCATTGTCAGACCCTATGCTGGTGCACTGGGTCCTCGGTTCCTCCTGGTGCACGACAATGCCAGACCTCATATGGTGAGAGTATGCAGGCAGTTCCTGGAGGATGAAGGAATTGATACCACTGAATGACCCCCACGCTTGCCTGACCTAAATCCAATAGAACACCTCTTGGATATTGTGTTCCAGTCCATCCGACACCACCAAGTTGCACCTCAGACTGCCCAGGAGCTCAGTGATGCCCTGATCCAGATCTGGGAGGAAATACTCCAGGACACCAGCCATCGTCTCATTAGGAGCATGCCCTGACATTGTCAGGCATGCATACAAGCATGTGGGGGCCATTCAAACTACTGAGTACCATTTTGAGTTGCTGCAATGAAATTTCAGCAAAATGGACTAGCCTGCTGCATCATTTTTTCACTTTGATTTTCAGGGTGTCTTTGAATTCAGTCCTTTGTAGGTTAATAATTTTCATTTCCATCAAACAATGAAGCATCCTTACATTCCTAACACATTACCCAATCCATATCAGTATAGATATGCAGCATCATATTTTCCCCATTGAGATCTAATGTGTTTTCAAGGTGTTCCTTTAATCTTTGTGAGCACTGTATATATATTTTTATTATATTCGACTTTTTCATTCTATTGAGGGTGGGCACTGAGATCAACCATTCTCGGCACCTTTTTGTATTGGCAAAATGCAGATAAACCTATTTTTGGCCGATATATCAGTGCATGACAAGCTTCAATCTACAGATGATGTCAGTTAAAGCAGAACTCAACCCTGCTATCCTTTTCAGCCAAGGAAGCTGCATCTTAGCCTCTGCTTGATCTGCAACTGCCATAATGATGCACTTGTGATCAGTTATGACACCAGCCACTTGATGGTGGCGAGCACAAGAAAATGTGACAGTTAGCATTCTTGGCATGCTGAGAATGTAACAGTTTTTTTTTAATTCTTTATTAAAGTGGAACTAACCCCATCAATTTAAAGGTTTCAAAAAACCAGTTACATCCCAGGCATGCTGATAACTCATACAATGTATCTTCTGCAATACAATGTATCTATGTGCCTGCTTGCAGTCTTCACCAGCAATGTAACCTGAGCTGTGAATGCATAGCTCAGCTTAAAGCGCCGCCACTGTCCCTGTGTGCCAGAATTATGGCCTCCTGCGCATGTGCAGGAGTGAAATCATCCCACACCAGCCAATAAAAACAGCTGAAGACCGGAACATAGGAAAAGATGTCAGCGAAGGACAGGAACTGTTGAAGGAAAGGCAAGTATAGGGTCCCTTTAGTTCTGCTTTAATGATAGCAAAGATCAACATGAACCATCATGTAGACCTACCCGAGCTTTTTCATGTTCAGCTTTAATCTGAGCATCTATCTCTTCTGGACTTGTATACTGCCTCACCCGACCTTTGTGACCGCCTTTTCTTCCTGCACAAAACATGATTGTAAGTGTTAAAACAATCTACAAAAATACATATTCATGTGTAGCATAAATAGGCATTATAAGATAATAAACCACATATAGCATCAACACTTAGACAAGTGTTAGGAGATATCCTTAAAAAGACTGGTGTATTTTTATTTAAACTAATAATATCACACTTATCCTCATCTAGTCTACAATATCCAACAAAAATAAAACCTAACAGCAGGCTGAATGTGACCCATGGGGTAGATTTACTACAACTGGTGCACTTAGAATCTGGTGCAGCTGAGCAGGGTAGCCAATCAGCTTCTAACTTCGGCTTTTCAATTAAGCTTTGGCAATAAAGCCTGGAAGCCAGGGTGGATAAAAATCGATGATTTAAAAAAAAAAAAAAAAACTGATTTGTTTTTATTTTTAGCAAAATTATTTTAATAAAATGCTTTTGGAGTAAAAAAAAAAAAATCTATCTAAAGATAGTTTTCTATTTAAGATTAACATTAATAATTTAGTTTATTCAGCATGAAATGGAGCCTAGTTATGTAGTATGAGGCTGTATATTCTGAAATATTTACATTTTTGTAAACTTATTCAATAAATCCAAGCAATCCAAGAGATAACATGCACTGCAGTGATGCATTCACACAATTTCACAGTAACCATGAGAAAACACATGAAATAAAAGAATTTGAATCGTTCTCCAGCTATGTGTGATTAACTTATTAACCTAAAATCAATTCTGATATCGCTGTTTTACTAATCTGACAGTTTATTATTCTAAAAAGGAAACTTTCATTTGGTTTAAAAATATTAAAGATTCTAACTACCAGCAGGAATGAGTCGGATTCCTTACATTTAAAGAGCACCTGTCATTTTAGATCCATCATGGCAGCGCCGGTTAGAGGGCATCCACTCACCTGCTGCCACCACGTCCCTCACCTTGTTGTGTCACTGCTGCATCACCAGCTGTCCCATTAAAGTGAATGATACTGTTGGTGAGTCAACAGCGGGTAAGAGGAGGAGCCGCTGCGGGACAGAGATGACAGTTGCGCTTCAAAAATTTGGATTTTAAATCAAGCCTTTTCACTAGTGATTTAAATCAAATCCACCCTGCTCAAAGCTGTTTGGTTTCTATGCAGAGTTGCACCAGATTTTGCACTCTCTAGTTTTAGTAAGTAACCCACATATACTTGTAAGGATCTGTATATTTAGTCTTGATATACATACCCTACAGCCTTCAGGGCAGCTCAATAGGTACAGAATGTGGGGTGCTGCAATACAGTTTGCTACATTCCATACTTTGGAGTGCTACAGCATAAACGTGTGCCTGTACTAGAAGCTCTTATCTCTTATTCACTACTTAGACTTTGGCTGCTTTGCCTGAAAATGTGTGAATCTGTTCAATAATCTCAAACTTAACATACACTATACTGCATGACAGGCGACAACCCAATTTCTTGGTTGCGTTTTGCAACTTTCAGCCAATGAGCAATTAATTAGTATTATTTCCTGTCCAACAAGCATAAGTATGCCCCAGGCAGATATACAGCTTCACCAAAAAAAAAAAAAGTAACAGTGATCTCCCCCACAAGACTGGCTGACCAAAACTACAAATCCAGAAAAAAAAAATCAGTAAGTAAAAGCTCCTAAACCGCATAATTGGCTGTGCCTGAGAAACTATATAAACCATTGCAGAAGCATTACAGCTAGGCAACCAGTATTTTTCAGGAGATGTCAATAACGACAGCCTCCATATGTTTCCTTTAAGGTGGAACTCTAGCCAAATTCTTTTTTTTTTTTAGTTTCGTCTGGAGTGAAGAAGGATTAGAAGCAGTCAGGTCCCCCCCCCCCCCCCTTCTTTGGGAGATTTACTTGTATTTTTCTGCCCTAGTGATTGCTCTCACTGGGACAAAGAGGGGAACTCTAAAATGAAAGCATTGTCACCATTAGAGGGCTGGCAGGCTGCCAAGATTTGTTGCAATAGAAAGTAATATGAAAAAAGATAAGATTTCAGTGTCTTGGTTGGAAAATTTGAAGGAAATTCTCCACAATGCCTTCAGCTACAGATGTGAATGAGGACATATTTACATATTCTGAATTAGCAGTAAAAGTATTTTAAACCATTTTAGTGTGCAAAGCCTGGGCACAGATTCACTTAAAGCATGGTCCTTAAAGAGCACCTTAACTCAACTGATGCACTAGGCATCACTGTACTCCCCCTTCTCCACATTAAAGGAGAAGTATAGTCAAACCTCTGTTGGCAATACTTCTCCATTGGGTCACAGGAGTGCCAGATTCAGCCGACGGTGGGCGAAAGTCCGTTGTCAGCTGAGGTCACAGAGCCAGTCCAGGCTCTGCAGGGATCCCAACAATAATTTATTTATTACAGGTACTTGTATAGCATTGTCAATTTTACATAGCGCTTTACATTTATATTATATATTCACATCATCCCTGCCCTTGTGGCGCTTACAATCTAAGGTCGCTAATTCACGGTTATACATACACATACTAGGGCCAATTTAGACAGGAACCAATTAACCTACCAGCAAGTCTTTGGAGTGTGGGAGGAAACCCATGCAGGCACAGGGAGAACATGCAAACTCCATGCAGGTAGTGTCATAGTTGAGTTTCAAACAGATGACCTTATTGCTGCTAGGCGGAAATTCTAACCACTTAGCCATTGTGCTGACCATATGATCCATCCAGATGCCTGATCAGCAGCTGGCTCAGATTGTCAGCCCATTGCTGAGAGCCTGAGCCAGCTGTCCTGCCCCATGTCCAGCTCTCCAGTGGGCACTGGAGGACAGAGCACTGACTGACAGTCACTGCTCTCTGCTGGACCCGAGAACTGAGGGAACAGCATTCTTTGATCACTCAATTCTCGGGGTAGTGCCAGCAGACGATACTCTAGGAGAGTATGGATATTTATCTTTTACTTTTGTGTGCGACAGATTCCTCAGCCTCCTGGGGTATGCATATCTCAAGAGGCTGCAGGAGAAGGGAAACACAGCAGCAGGTGGGCAAAGCTGGCACAAGACATCAGGAGATGGCTGATTGAACCCAGAAGAGTTGGCCCATCTCCTGATGACATCACAGGAAGAGATGGTGGCACAGGACCCGGGCTGTTGTACCTGAGCAGCAGATTGCAGCAGTATAACACTGGATCTGCTGGACAAGAAAGTATCTCAATCCAGGGCACGCAAACAAAACAGGCGATTTAAGAAAAAAAAAAAAAGGGGGAAACGGGTCATAGATACCTGGAAGACACTGGCAGCACATATGCACAGTACATAGTGTTTCACTTTCAAGTCCACCCAAGATTTATGTGCCCCCAGGGAGACAACACCACTGTGTGATTTCATTACAGAATGCACAACATTGTCACCGTATTAGAGGAAGTGGAGAAATAAAAGATTTAGTATCAGGATGAACACAGAATAGGACTAGGCTACAAGGGGGAAAAACAAGATATCTCGGGTAAACCATTTCACTGGCTACAGGTCCAAAACACAAAGCAAAGCCCCTTAGAAAACAATGGGGCTCAATTACTAAAACTGGAGAGTGCAAAATGTGGTGCAGCTGTGCACAGAAACTAATCAGCTTCGAGTTTTTATTGTCAAAGCTTAAAAGAGAAGTAGAGCTTTTTTTTCCATATTTATACTTACCTGGGTGGATGCATCTGTCCCCCGCTGGCTCTAAGGGCTCGTTCACACTTAGCTGTTTTACCAACGCTTGTCAAACGCCCCTATAGCGTTTGGCAAGCGTTGGTCCGGCATTTGCGGAGCTCAGCAAACGCTGCATGCGCGGTTTAGCGGAGGTTGCTAGGCGTTTGCTGAGCGTTAAAAACGCCCCACAAAGGCCTATAATGCAGTTTGAATGGTGTTACCGCTTCGCAAATGCCCCGCAACCGCACAGCAAACGCCAGCCAGGCGTTTGTGGAGCGGCACCATGGACTAGAATAGGAGGCTTCAACGCTTCCTGACTCGACCAGAGGCGTCCGTTTTGCCGCGACGCAAATGCTCCCGTTAGAACAGCACCATGTGCTGTAATGTGCAGAATTGGCAGAGGCGTTTGGGAAGCAGTAAAAACGCTTCCCAAACGCCTCTCTGCCGCCTGCACACAACGCTAGTGTGAACGTAGCCTAAGAGTGAGAACTGAGCGATCACATGAGCAGAGAGTGTGGAATGTCAAACACCACTGTCTGCTCTGCATAAACCCCCCCCCCCCCCCCAGCGCTCACTGGACAGGGGTGTGAATTTTTTTTTTTTAAAAACTACGTGTCCAAGGGACTAAATTGGGGATCTCCAATCTACGTGTCCCTCATGGCAATCTACTTGTTCTGATAAAAAAAAAAAAAAATTCCAGGATAGAAGGGTTGATGTGTTTATAAGGCAGTGGTGCTTTTAAAAACAAAAAGGGGCTTGATGGCAACTAAAACTGATACAAAATTTGTTAGAAACACCAAACATATATTTTTATTTTAAATTGGTGGGTTTTGCTATTTTGTTTTATGTAATTCGGTGTTTGCACAGCATTTTTTCAAATGGAATTTTTTTAAAAAATACACTTGAATTTTAATGCAAAAAAACCCCACAATACTAAAGTAAATTTTACTATCCATAGGCAATTTTTTAACAGCCTTTACAGATTACCACCTTAGATTTACAGAGGAGTGCTAGAATTACTGCCAATGATCTGATGTTCTCAGTGAAACATCACATGTGTAGGCAGCTTGCTATTTGCGTGTGTGTAGGCCCGACACGTGTGTTTGCCTTTGTGAGCGGGGGTGCTTAAAAAAAATATTAAACATTTTGTATTATTTTGACACTGTCGCTTTAATTTTCTTCTTTTTTGATCACTTGTATTGCTGTCACAACTAATGTAAACATCCCTTGTGACAGGTGCTCTTTATCGAGCGATCTGGTGTCAATAAGACCCCAGATCCCTCCTCTGCCTTTAAAAGAACAAGATTGTTGTGATCAAAAGCTTTCCATTTTTAAAAATGGTGCCATTGACATAGGAGAAACCGTACATTATGTATGTGCATCGCTTCCCGTTTTCTATATCATAGAGGCGAACAGAGCAGTTCCAGCCTTTGTCTACCTTTATGATCAGCTGGCGGAAGCGTCAGATAGTTGAACGGGTGTCCTGGTGTGATGAGACAGCCCTGGAAGGGGAGATGTCCCATTCCGCTGCTTGTAAAATAGATCCAGTGGCTAGTTAGCCACTTGGATTTCTTTTACAAGAGAGCCAACTGTCGGCTCTAAACCCTGCTGCTTGCCTGCAAATGCATGTAAAGAAAACCCTCTTGCCCAGAGCCCGGAACTGCATGTCTCGGGCATCAGGGTATATGAATTGCACATTCCTGCTGGAGTGCTCAGCTGTGGAGGTAGAGGAAGAGGTTGGCTCAGGCTCTCATCGTCTTGGTGAGAGGCTGAGCCAGGTGCTGCTGCAGACTGGGGTGGATCCCGACTTTGAAGCCAGGATCTTTCCCCAGCCTGGACCGGCTGAGTGAAATCAGCTGAAAACAGGTTACAGGAGTGCAGAACGAACTGCGCTCCTGTGATCCACAGAAGTACAGCCTAAAGAGCTTTGGATGTACTTCTCCTTTAAGCCCTGGTTCACAATGGTGCGACTTGTCATGCGATTTCACTGTTCCAAATCACATGACCAGTTGCACCCTATTGCCGACAATAGAACCACAGTCGGAGAGGCACTTACTTTGAAATTGCGCTACGTCTACTGAGGTAGCGCAATTTCAAAGCTGCTTTTGGTGTGATCCAAAGCTTAACTGAACAAGCTGAAGCTGATTGGCTCCCATACACACCTGCACTAGATACAGAGTGCACCAGTTTGGGTAAATCTCCCCCAATGGCTGCTTCCACCCTGGAATGTCACACACGACTGATGGAGACAATGATCAGGAGGGCACACAATGATCACGGTGTAGCCGTCATGTGGAAGCCGCCTGCTCCCTGCCATGAACTGCTGTGATCACACTACACCGCTTCTGTGTATTCAAGCCCAGATCTGGCGCCATGAACTTTGTGTATTCTTCCTGTCACCCGCCTGTGTCCCCCGCTCACCCTCCACCGCTCCCATACAAACACAAAGACCCACAGACTCCTCCGACCCCCCGGCCCGTCATTTCCAGGACAATTCTCTCACCTCCCTTCGGCATGATAACACAAGTCAGCTCGCTGCCTCTACCTCTCCCCCCACCAACTTGATGGGCACGCGGCTCAGGGCCCCCAAACCAGGGGCAGTCTTTCGCGCCTTAAGAGAAGAAGTCATTATTCTCAGCTTTATTAACTCTCAAGCAGAATTATTGAACTCTTACACGATACTCTCCTCCTGTCAAAGGACAAACCAAAATCAATTATCTAATAACAAGGCCAAGATAACAGATAATAATTGTATTTTAGACAGGCATTGCAAAAGACAGCATGCCTGACGCAATGGTCCCCATCCTGTCGGCTCTCTAACATCCCGGAGCAGTCTCATTACCGCTCTGGGCTTGTAGTAGGAGCACTGTATGGGGGGCACGGGCCAGGGACAGGCGGGCGGGGGGGTTTGTAGAACATCTTTAGTAAAGTACGGGAATCCTGGAAGGACCCCGGCGGAGTGGTGATGTCATCAGTCAGCGTTTATCCGGAAATGGTGAGAAGTGTTTCCGGATCATAGAACTGTGAGGAGTTGTGGGAGCTCGGGCTGTGTGTATTCCGGGGTGTTCAGGTAATGTGGCCTTCTACAGATATGTAACCATAGGATGGTCCCCTTGTCTTGTCCTTCAGAGGTGCAGGCTAGTGTCATTCCTGATATCACACCTGTTACCATCATACATCCCAACACGTATTACACTCTATGGGAGGATTTTCCTCAAACTGCAGCAGCTGTGCAAGGCAACCAATCCACTTCTAGCTTTCATTTTTAAAGTGGAACATGCACTGTCTGTTCTGCAATAAAGTGCCCCCGGACTGCTCACCCCCCCCCCCCCCCCCCCCCTGCACATCTCAGTTTACTGTGCCAGGCTGATGGCCGCCTGCGCATGGCCAGGAGTGATGTCGTCCCCTACCGGCCAATGAAGAGACCCAAAGACCGGTAGTCAGAAGAAGATGTCGCGCAGGACCGTTGGACAGGCAAGTATTTTCGTTCCGCTCAAAACCCTCCTTTCTTTTGCAGTCAAGGAAGCTTCCATCTTAGCCTTTGTTTAATTCCCAACTGCCATGGTCCTATACATGTGATCAGTCATAACATCAGACATTTGACCGTTTGCTTGATAACAGCAAATGTGACAGTTAGCCTTCCCAGCACATGCCAGGAATGCAACTGGTTTTTGAAACTGTTAAAGTGTTACTAAACCCAGGACCTGCATTCACTACATCTGGTCTCCCACAGTACACAGAACATGGAAGTGCAATTATTTTACTAAATATAAACTGCTAAATACCTCATCAGCAGTTAGAGTAGTCTTGTGTCTTCTATCGGTGTTCTGCAGAGCACTGGCATTTTGAGTCCATGCAAACATTTTATTTTTTGCCACACATTTTTTGAAAATGACAATTTGTAATTTATTTTTTTGTACACAAAGTTGTTAATTTAATGATATTTTGCTCATGTATGCCTCGGGTATATGTGGAATAACACCCCAAAACACATTCTTCTACTTCTCCCTTGTATGGGGATACCACATGTGAGAGACTTTTTGGCAGCCTAGCTACATACAAGCCCCCAAAATCTGATGACCACCTCCAGGCTTTCAAAGGTCATATTTCCTCATATCACTTCCCCACTACCTATTACAGATTTGGAGTCCCTAAAATTCCAGAATAGTACAAATACCCCCCCCAAATGACCCCTTTTTGGAAAGTAGACACCCCAAGGAATTTGATAAGAGGCATGCTGAGTTTTACAGATATCGTTTTTTTCACAGGGTTTTTGAAAAAGGGGAAAAAAAAAGAAAAGAAAAAATACATTTTTGTTTTCTTTCTTCGGTTTCCGAAAACATGAGACAACAAATGAGATCTGTTCAAATATAAGTGCAGCGCTAAAGCATAAGTGACAAATGCAGTCATAAAGTGCTTATGTGAATAGAAGTGTTCATACAATAATCCAGTGAAATAAATCAAACAAAACGTCTCAAATCACATAGAATCATAAATAACTATGAATATAAATAGTGGATAGTCCGTGGCACTTCAGGTCACAGAAGTGCTAAGTGATATATATGTGCTTATTTACCAATAATGGTGATTATACATAGCCCATGGCACTACAGGTCACAGCAATGCCCGGTGTTCGTGGAACTACAAGGTGCAGCAATACCAGCTAGTATGATCCAACATAGGAATCTACCACCTTATATGGATGTGCACTCACCAGAACACTACTTGTATAATAGCGTTAATGCTGATCCTTCTGGGGGGGAGCATCTTTATTGGGTGAGACAAAGTAGCAAATATAATAAAATTTGACCAGCCTGAAGTGGACAGTGTGACTCCAACGGACGGCCTGACTGCTCTGAAGGGAGCTGAGATCGGAGAACGCTCCTGTCGACTTCAAATCACGTGGTGTCAGCGTACCGGCGTCCCGGTTGGTGTCACCACGGCAAGCGAAGGCAGTGTCTGGCATTGGCTTCAGCTGGGAGCATGTGTAGGGTTACCAAGACATGTTTCGCACAGTTGCAGCCTATGCAGTGCTGGAGTTTAGCACTGTAAAGGAGCAGGCATCAATGGAGAGAAGGTTACTACAGAAATCATCAAAACATGGCACATAATTCATTACAGATACTGTTATGTTACTGCAGCTGTACCAAAAAAAAAAAAGTAACTAAACTATGGTCATGTTTACTAGCCCTACCAAATTATTAGGTATCTTTTGAAAATCCGGAGCAGTTGACAGTAAACTAACATTTACATCCTATTGCCAAATTTTCAGCCTTACTGTAAGGTGGCAATTAACAAGGGGGAGAACTACGATGATGATTTACACATAATGTTTTCCTATTATGTATTATTCCCAACTTCTATCCTATCAATTTGTTCCACTTTCCATTTGCTATTCACATATACACTTCCATTATGTAAGCCCTCCTTTTTTTCATTTCTGGATGTGTGCAAACCTCTCCTTCTGTTTTATTCTTTTTCATTTTTGTGAAAAATTTTACTGTTCATAAGTCTACTAATTCTTTTTGTGAGCTGAAAAATAGGATTTATTTCTTTTCTTTTAATATCTTTTCTGATTAACTTCTTTTAACTGTTGATGACCTTTATTTATTATACTAACTTCTTTGATCAAGTTTCTACCTTCTTTTCAGACAGCTTTTATTAGTCTTTACACATTCTTTTTCCTGGATATTTTATTTACCTTGCTGCTTTTATCCATAAGCTAATCTATACTAGCTTGCGCTCTCTCTCTTTCGCTCTCTTCCATTTATCTGTTTCATTTTACACTTCCCATTTGTCCTTTTTGTAAAGTTTAATAACAAAATGCTTTTTCTGCTAAGCCTATTTTTTTAGTTGTCTGCTATATTTCACGTATTTCTTTTTCATTATTTACATTTTCGGTTTGCTTACTCCTGTAAATGTCAGCTGCTATATAATGAACATTGTTTTCAGAACCTATATGATTGGCACCCTTACTTGCCTTCTCTGTCTAATTCTAGGTCAGGGCTCGACAAATCCCAGGCGCCAGGTCACCATGGTAAACAGAAATCATGACCTGGCGCCTGGGCACCAGTCAGCCCACTCACACCGGCAACTCCCAATGCTCTGCGCTCCGGACATGCAGCTCCGGGTGTGGGGCAACCATTCCTTCTCTCTCCCCCTTGCTGGTCTCCATAGTTTCCCTGAAAGCAGGCAGTAGGCTGGGCTGGAGTCTGATGTCTGGCTGTCAGGCCCGGTATGAGTGACAGTCGGGGTGGCCGGGCTTATCTCCTCCAAGCAGGGTCCGAGGATGAGCCAGTCTGTTGACTCTTCTGCCTGCCGTGGCCGAGGCACATCACCGCCAAGCTGGCCTTGCTTCCTCTGGAGCTCACGTGGTGCACACACGGTGCAGGAGGCAAAGGGATCAGCGGGGGGTAAGGTGGGGACCCTGTGTGTGTGTGTACGCGCACAGGGGGGAGAGGACCAGACCTGGAGTGTATACAGGGCCCACCCCTCCTCCTCGCCGGCAGTCCCCACACTTGGCACTGGAGGAGAGCAGAGTCCAGCCCACACAGCATGCCACACACACATCAGAAACCTCGGCTCCAGTCCCCTTCATACGCAAATTTAAGATCTGCTATCTCCGCTATCGAAAATAAAGCCGTTAGTGACAAAAAAAAAGTCTCCTAAATTTTTTTAGCTGGCTCCTAGATTCAAAGCAAATTTGTCAAGCCCTGTCATGGTTTACCGATCTTTCCCTGTTTCAAAATGCTCCATGCTTGTAACAAGCACAATGTTAACAGTTTAGAGCCCATTACTTGGAGCAGTCAGCATTTGTTTTCTTGTTTTTAGGTGATGTGGTCCAAGCACAGTAGAGCAAGATAGTGACTATATGAAGCTTGATGAATTTCAATCTATGTTTGGCCACTGTGCTTGAACAGAAATTAATCTGCCAATCATCTAGAAGCTGATCTACCAAACAATGTCTGTTTAAGCACCCTATAAGATAAAAGCTGCAGGCAGTAGGCTTGGGGGGAGTCTCCATGCTGTCAGAATACAATGGCGCAGTAGGAAGGATTCCCCCATCCACCTTGAATGTGTGGATGGGGCAACCAGTTACGTTTTTTTAATTTTTTTTAGAAAAACCTGAATCCTGTATTGGTAGCTTAAAGCTAATCCTATACAGTCAGGTCCATAAATATTGGGACATCGACACAATTCTAACATTTTTGGCTCTATACACCACCACAATGGATTTGAAATGAAACCGTTCACCTGATTTGGATGTAAATACCCTCAAATTAAAGCTGTCAGTCTACAGTTAGAGCACATCTTGTTCGTTTCATTTCAAATCCATTGTGGTGGTGTATAGAGACAAAAATGTTAGAATTGTGTCGATGTCCCCATATTTATGGACCTGACTGTATATAGATTTTTGAATGAGTATGGGGTACATCATACCCCTACACATTCACCAAAAAATTACAAGTGTAAATAAATGCACAACATAGTTTTTGACAATCCCTAAAGAAAAGAAATGTCTACCGCTGTAGATCCATTGTCAAGCTTGTTGTGCAGTGATTTAGGTCTACATCAATCACAATGAACAATGGCCACCAACCTTAGGGGGAAAAAAAGTGGGTGATGAGATGTCCTTTTTTTTTTTTTTTCTTTTTTTTTTTTTTTTTTTGTAATTGTGGGTATAGTAATATAGGAGTTTCCACACCATTTGTTTTCTTAAAGGATAGGTTCACCAGTACAAAAAAAATATATTTTTTTTGCAGGTAAAAAAAAAAATGCATGTGTTATTTTTTTGTTGTTAGGCGCCTGTAAAGCATTGCACCCGCGATTAGCAAATCGCGAGTGTAATGCCACGGTCCTACAGACTGTCTGTGTAGCTGTCTGTCCATACCTCCAATACAGGCAAGTGGTTACACAATGACAGGAAGCTCAGTGAACTATCTAGAGTGCTCAACAGCACTCTGGTTAGTCATTGAGAACTACAAGCCAAGCACCACAAAGGTTGTCGGTGCTTGTAGTTTTCCCTATCACAGAATACTGTGAATGAATGATGCGACCGGGTGGGTGGAGCCCCGCATAGTTATGTTTTTTGTGCAGATTGTGACAGCCAGCAGGAGAAATCCCCAGCTAACTGTCAAAACAGGGGAGTGGAGGCCAGTGCATCTGTTACATGTTACACCCTCAACATGGGTGTAACATGTTACAAAAGGTGAACTTCTCCTTTAAATATTATTTATAACTGCTTGTATCCAGAGGATTGAGTGCAGCATTTTCCTATTCCCACCAGTGCATACAAATATTAGGATTAAGATTCTAAATCATGCATTTTTTTTATGATGACTTTATTGCAAAAATTATCCGCTATGGAAAATATACAGTGGTATTCAGTGCCACCAGTTTTACCAAACTGGTTTTGTCCAGCACACGTTTTCACAATTTCATATTTTAGTGTCTTTTTTTTTATTTTCTGTATTTCATGTTAAGAATAGAGTGTTGTATTAAATGTGTGTTCAAAGGTAAACTAAACAGAAGTCTAATCTTGCACAGGTAGTCAAACCAATGCCGAAAGTAAAGCGAAGCAGGAAGCCTCCTCCAGATGGATGGGAGCTTATAGAACCTACATTGGATGAGCTTGATCAGAAAATGAGAGAAGGTAAGACGGCTCACTTCTCTGTGTAGTTATTACATTCCCCAAAGAATGGAACAGCAAGATCCCCATTATGCTGTTTAAAATGCTAAATAAAGCTTGGCTACAGTATGTTTATTCATACATATAGATTTGGGATAGATTATTAGTGGTGCACCGAAATGAAAATTCTGGTGCCAAAACCAAAATGGACAGTTTTTAAAAATTAATATATTTTTCAAATGCAATTTTTTTTTTTTTTGGAAAAAAATACACTGATTAACAAAAACACAACATATATACCCCAATTTTTTTGTAAAATATGAAAGATGTTATGCCGAGTAAATAGTTACCCAGCATATCATGCTTTAAAATTGCGCACGCTCGTGGAATGGTGTCATACTACAGTACTTAAAAATCTTCAAGCATTTTTAAACCTGACATTTTAACCAGTGTGTAGACTTTTTATGTCGTGTGTGTGTGTGTGTGGGTATACACACACACATATATATACACTCATTCGGCTGTTGTGAATAATGTGTTTAATATATTTAGTTCCTATGATCGTCATCTCCATTTAGTGGCTGTAATGGGACATTTTCAGGATTTTTTTTTTTTTTAAATAAATAAATAGACCTCTTTGTGTGTGAAAAGGACGATGAAGGCGGACTACCATTCATATATTACTTTGAGAAACATGCTGAGGAGAGTATGATTGTTTGTTGGTGTTTAAATGTGAATCTGCAAAAAGTGTGTTAAAATCCATGCAGTGTAATAATTTGCACCTGTTTTAGCAGCTACACAAGATTTGGGAAACTGCATCGATAAGCCTGAATTTGTAAAGTTTAAAATATGCATATGAAGAGTTGCAAAAAGTTTTGAAAAAAAATTCTAATAAGTTGGCATGGGTAGCATAAATGATATGAGGAGGGGTAGCTTCACTAACGTTTTTTTTTAAGAAAATAGTTTGCAAATTCAGACTTCTTTTGTAGGCGCAGACTTCATTTGTTGGGTTCGGAAAGATTTTCAGTTCTGTGAGGCAAAATCTAGACCAGCAATGCGAGGATAAACCTGATGGGGATTTTCATGGTTCTGTTTTGTATGGAACTAATTTTTAAAAAATTTCAGACGGGCAGGCTTTTTAATGCAGAAGAGACATGCTATGTCGCTTCTGCATTCCAGTATTTTAACCTGCCTATTTACACTGTACAACTTTGTCATGTGTTGAAGATGTAATTTCAGCCCAGCTAATCAAAATAGCTGATGATTGAAACCTGGAAGAAGACCAGAAGGTGTCAGCATTTGTTAAGGAGCTCCTCAAAGCTGCATTGCTGAAGTAGAGATGAATTTAGTTCTGCTTTTATAACTCCCCTTTAAAATAGTAAACTATAAAACAAAGCAGGATTTCTGAGTTCTATTAAAGCAATTAACCACTTACTTACTGGGCACTTATACCCCCTTCCTGCCCAGGCCAATTTTCAGCTGTCGCACGTTGAATGACAATTGTGCGGTCATGCAAAATTGTACCCTTAGGAAATTTTTATAATTTTTTTCACACAAAGCTTCTTTTTGGTGGTATTTAATTGCCACTGGGTGTTTTTATTTTTTGCTCTATAAACAAAAAAAGAGAAAAAACTTGGAAAAAAAAAAAGTTTTTCTATTATAAAATTTTGCAAATAGATAATTTTTCTCCTTCACTGATGTGCATTGATGAGGCGACACTGATTGGTGGCACAGGTGGGTGGCACAGGTGGGTGGCACTGCTGGGCACAGGTGGGTGGCACTGCTGGGCACAGGTGGGTGGCACTGCTGGGCACAAGTGAGTGACACTGCTGGGCCCTGATGATCAGTGCTGATTTGTTTTCTGACAATTGCCGGTTATCAGCAGTACTTTCCTCACTTTGTGACAGCGTGTGGGAAGTGCCGATAACCGGCAACTGCATTTACCCGGTAATCTACTGTGTCATTGGACACAGCTGATGACGTGGTAAAAGGCCGCTGTGATTGGCCTTTTACCACATCACGTGATCAGCTGTGTCCATAGGACACAGCAATCATGGAGATCATGGGGTGCGCACTGCTGGGGGAACGCAGGAGGGCACGTTCTTTGAGGACATCATATGACACCCTACCAGAATTGGACAGCCATGCTGTAGCCATCATTTGGCTATAGCGTGGTTGGCAAGTGGTTAATATTGCCTTCAATTCTTATTGTAGCACTATTGCAGAATGTGCCGCTTGGTAATTTTGGGTTCTCTGTTTTGTGCCCAACTCCATGAACAACCTCAGCCCCTCTGACACACCTGGTTGAGTCAAAGTTACTGCAAGCACTTCTAGGAATAGTTTAGATTTAACATGGTTGTGAATCGGTACCAGGAAACAGATACAGGACAGTTTAGTGGTCAGTGAGCTCAAGTGATTTGGTACAGGTTAAAATAAATGGTGGTTTGAGCGTAAATTGGCATACAGAATGTAGGTTCTAGATGGTATAATTACTATACCAAGATAACTTGGAATAGCGTTCGGTACCGCTAGACTGGGATTAATTCAGGAAGTCAGCAATAAACAGTGCATATAAACCTTAACTGCAATGTGAATAATACTAGAACTAGTCTAGAGTGCACACTAGGATATGGTGCAGTGTCCCCTGAGAGGTACCTCTTGGAATAAGCAATACGTAAAGGTCTCTGTGTGGGGCAGTCTTTTGCCCTAATTCAGCTGGCAAGCATTGGGGACCAGTTGTACCATAGGTGAACATAAGAATAGTCCCAGTCAAGCTTGAGTGCAGCAGTATGGCTACTAGATGGCTGTATGGTCGGTTGCTAAAGTGCTCAGTCTCTTAGCAGCAGATAGTAAATCCCCACAGCAGCAGTCTTGGCAATACTGCAGCTCACCATCCAGTCACACACAATTAGTTCATGGTCTGCTGTGCACCGAGGTGACTGTTGGCATATCTGGATTCAGCGTTCTAGATCCTGCTCAGGCTGCCTTTATGCAGCAGTGATGGTGCACGCTGGATAGGGGTGTGCACGCTGGATAGGGGTGTGCACGCTGGATAGGGGTGTGCACGCTGGATAGGGGTGTGCACGCTGGATAGGGGTGTGCACGCTGGATAGGGGTGTGCACGCTGGATAGGGGTGTGCACGCTGGATAGGGGTGTGCACGCTGGATAGGGGTGTGCACGCTGGATAGGGGTGTGCACGCTGGATAGGGGTGTGCACGCTGGATAGGGGTGTGCACGCTGGATAGGGGGTGCACGCTGGATAGGGGTGTGCACGCTGGATAGGGGTGTGCACGCTGGATAGGGTGTGCACGCTGGATAGGGATGTGCACGCTGGATAGGGATGTGCACGCTGGATAGGGATGTGCACTCTCCAGGCTCCCTCACAACAAGAGGAAGATGTCTTGTACAACTGGAGAACATTTAACTCTTTCCTTTCCTCCTGGCAATACAGTTCAAAAGCTCTTGATTACAGCAGAATCACTCTCATCTGGGCTACATTTCCCAAAGTACAGTGCTGCCTGACTCAGTCTATTGAACTCTTCCTACTCAGTAGCTCCCTCCTCCTGCTGACATGCTGTTAACCAGTTCAGCACCACAAGGCAGCAGCTACAGAGAGCAGCTTCAGCCAATGTTTCTCTCACTCTCCATTCTTAGCCAAGCACCTGGCTACAGTTATTCCCTACAATTATGTTCTCCCTGCAATGAAGTACTCTTGCTGCCCAGTGCCTCCAGTCTCTGCAGTAGTGACAAGCAACCCCCCACTGAAAACTATTCAAAAACAGACACTTCTGGGAGTGTCTATTGTTCTCCTGCTGCAAGCAGGCCATACATAGAGTGAACTTTTCCGGTTTCTGATGATCTGGACAAAATTATTTCCGAGGGTAGCTGTTGGCATCCGCTGGCCTGAAATGCTTGAAAAATCAAAGGAACCAGGCAGAACATTGACTCTGGAACAAGGCCTGGATTCAATCAAATGCAAGCAATGTTCAGATATTGTGTCAGCTGTTTGGATGCCATAGCTGTGGTGGAAGATTAGTCCATCAGTGCTGATTAGTGTGGATGGCTGAAGCTGTTCAGCTTTTTAAAGGCTGAATGAAAAAAAAATCTTTGTGGGGGGGGGGGGGGATTAAAAAAACAAATCCAGTTTTCATGAAGTTTCTGTTTCCAATATTTTTCACCAGAGAATGGCTGCATGGGCAGCAGGAAAGATAAGTATCTTTAAATAATGTTCTAAAGTGACACTAAATGATATCCTTCTCATTCAAAATAATTGGTACACATTCACTATTTAAAGGCCCTGATGAATAATCCATAAAACATCCACTATTTAAAGGCAGTGTTAATTTTGACATCACATTTCGATTTTGTTTTCTTCTGAGTCTGTTGACTAAAAAGCCGTTTTAGTTATATTTTAGTCATCTGAATTGTTTTAGTTAAATAAAATAGTGTTAATAGAATGCATGAAAGTAAAAATCCTTCTGTGTGCAGCAGTTCCCCCAGCCCCCTCAATACTTACCTGAGCCTCATCGCAATCCAGCGATGTCCATGCCTGCCTCGGCTATCCCGGGTCACTGCCTCATCATTGGCTGAAACAGCAAACGGTAGCCATTGATTCCCGCTTCTGTCAGTCACAGCCAGTCAGCCAATGAGGAAAGAGAGGAGGTGGGGCCAATGGACACATGGAGCAGCGGGTGCGCCCATAGCAAGCTGCTTGCTGTGGGGGCACCTGACAGACAGGAGGAGACAAGAGAGCCTGCAGGGGACCTGAGAAGAGGTGGATCCAGGCTGCTCTGTGCAAAACCACTGCAAACAGTAGATAAGTATAGCATGTTTGTTGTTTTACAAACAAAAAACCTTTTTAGAATCGCTTTAATATAGTTGACAAAAATAAACACTGCTTAAAGGCTCTTTTTTATCTATTTTGTTTATATTTTTAAATGTAAAGTTCCCGTTTTTGCTTGAAACGGGCAGTGCACATTAGTTTTGATCATGTGTGCTGCTCCATGTAAGAGGTGGTATCAAAACGTTTTTCGAGACTAGTTTTCTAAGACGTCAACAGATGGCAGCACAAGGCTGCATGCACAGTTACAGGGAGCACCATAAGTCAGTGGTGTGCCAGAATACATCATCCTGTGTACATTGCAAGCTGTGCAACTAGTGGTATTCTGGCCACGTGCATTACCATGTCTACTATTTTATTATGGACAGCAAGTTAGCACAAACGTGAAATTCTGTGTGAAACCCATACACCCAAGTTTGGTCACTGGTAATGATCTTTGACATGAATGATGGGTCATCCGCGGCATGTTGATGGAGTTCTTGGCAGACTCTGGCACGGTGTTCCTTCTGCTTCTGGGTCAGCAGCCTTAGGGCGAACTTGGCAGCAACACGGCACATGTTCAAATCACACGTGAGGCTTGCCTGGACTGTGCCGTATGACACACTGACAAAGGCAGCAATGTTATGGATTGTTATCCGACAATCATGCACAAGTTGCCGAATGGTTTCAACATTTTTGGGGTTGAGCTCATTGAAGGTCTTCCTGATGTCTTGTTGTCCTCCAGTGCCACTTGAACGACTCATTTGTAGCATTGCCGTAAACTTGACAAATCATGTCAAACATCTCTGTGGCAGATTTGCCCAGTTTCACGCAGAATTTCACGTTTGCTCTTTATTCTAACTTGCTGCCCATGATGAAATAGCAGACCTGGTAATGCATGTGGTCAGAATAGCACCCGTTGCATAGCTCCTGATGTACACAGGACAATGTTTTTGGCACACTGACTTATGACCGTTTGTGCTCCCTACGACTATGCGTGCAGCCTTGTGTTGCCATCTGTTGGCGTGTTGCAAAACTACTCTCAAAACTTTTTGATGCCACCGTGTACACTACAGATTACATTGTCCATGGTCCTAGTTCATCTTGAGAATAATCAGGAGAGGGTGGCTACTTTCTGACAAACTATGGGACCAAGGAGAACAATTGTATCATCCCTCTTAACAGGAAGTTAGATCTGTAGCAAAAAAGAAATTTAGAGGAGAGTAAAAGTAATAGAGCCAATAGAAGGCACTTTTTGATTGTATGTATTTTGTAACAGAACTTAGTGTCACTTTAAGTATTCATTTTAGTGACTGTTGATTTTAAGGTGTGCCAGAGTTAAGAGGAATAGTAAATCAGTAATAGATTAAAAATGTTTTTTCCCCTCACATTCTACAATAGTTCACAAGATTTTTCTTTTTAGGGGTGACAAGTTTTATATGTATGTATATTTGACAAAATAGCATTTTTTTTTTTGTTCTCCAGCTGAAACTGAGCCCCATGAAGGAAAGAGGAAAGTGGAGTCTTTGTGGCCAATATTCCGTATTCATCATCAAAAAACTCGATATATATTTGACCTCTTTTACAAGAGAAAAGCTATAAGCAGAGGTAAAAATTATCTGTTTTCTACCACTTCAGCTCTGGAAGGTTTTACCCCCTTCATGACCTAGCTAAAACACACTGCTGAACTTTAACTGGTAATTGTGCGGTCATGCAATGCTGTACGCAAATGAAATTTATATAATTTTTTCACACAAATAGAGTTTTCTTCTTATGGTATTTGATCATCATTGGTTGCTTTGCTTTGCATGAATGATATCGTGCCTACAAACTTTAGTGTGTATATATATATATATATATATTTACTACTATGGTGGTGATCAGTGACTTATAATGGGGGTGCAGAAGGCAATCTGCTACTGGGTAACTGCCAGCGACCTCACCGGTGACATTAATACAGTGATCGGTGATAATACTATACACTGTCACTGTATTAATGACACTGGCTGGGGTTTACCAGCACAGACCTCTGGGCTATTATTGTACACAGCTGATCAGCAGGTCCTGGCCAGGACTTTCAGACAGCCTCCCTCTGTGTACAATCCCAGCGGGTACAGGCGAGGTTCCTTGCCCCAAACCCAGAGGTAGGCAGAGACGTGCCTGTGCATTGCTTCGCCTACAGTGGCCACCTGTCTGCAGTACATTGTAGACAGGTAGTTGTGAACTGGTTAAGGTATCCTTTTTAATACAATTTTTAGAAATGTTTATTTCTAGGAAAATACCATTTGATTGCGGGAAATTTTTTTAACGTGTAAACCAAGCCAATAGAAAAATTAGCTTTTCTGCATTCCTTAGTGCTATGCATCTGACAAATGAAAGTTAAGGGGGTTAATTCCCCTTTTACCATAAAGCTGCCTATGCATTTAAGGGGTGTCTGTAGACCTCATGAAACCTGACTAGAATACACCTAGGAAGTTAGTAGAACATTGCTAAGTGAGGCCTAGGCCTTATTGCTCACCACCATCACAGGAGTGCGTTTCTCTGATTCAAACCCCTTCACATATCTTTTCTTTCCCCTGATGCAGCAACCCTAAGCTCAGCATTTGAGAGCGCACACCTGTGATGGAGGTGATGAGCAGGACTAGACCTTACTTAGCAATGTGCAAGGAACGTCTTGGGAATGTTCCGGTCAGGCTTCGTGAGGAATGTAAATGTGTAAATGGCCTACACCCATAGCAAGGGAATGAATCGAATTTAGTCAAAGCTGCACAATTTTTATCTACAGTTGCCAATTATCTACATAGGCAGTTTTTTGGGGTTTGTTTGGTGAAACTAACCCTTTAAGAACTGGAGGAGTGGACACACCTGCATCATTTTGCTGCTGCTACTTTGCTGTCCCGTCACAGCCTTGACCAAGGGGTTTTGGTTTGACTGCAGAAGAAATGTAAATGGCAAGGACCTTGGCTATTGTGCCAAATAAGAAAACTGGCTGAATCAGGTGTGATACAATGCATGTGTTTTTGCTAGCCAGCGGGGTAATTTTATCCAGCCATTCCTGTAATTAATACAGTTCTGCTAAGCTATAAGCTCACTCTTCTACTCCCTGGTTTACCATTTCTGAGTCTCTACTGCTTCCTAGGTAAGCTTCCTGCGTACTGAACAAAGGTAATTATTATTCCCTGTCAGATAAGGCCATAGGTTTTAGGTCAGGGCCATTACTGGCTCTTTTATAAATATCACGCTCTGTAATAAAGGCCAAATCTTCCCAGAGTTCTCTAATCCCCTTGCCACCTATAATCAGACTGTTATGAATAACCTAGTGAGATACCACAGAACTACCTATGCGTAAGAATCAAGTGAGTTCTTCAGCCCATTGGTGTCCAGACAGTAAATCAATGATTCCTTTTAGCAGAATATAATTTATTGTATTATTAGTTTAGCACATTGAGCACAATAAATTAAGTGTTCCCTTCGTAAACTATTTAACATTTTCACTCCAGCAGTTGCTGTTTATAGGTTGCTGCTGGCTCCTGCTCTCTGTGCTGCTTCCCTGAACTTCTGGTATTCACAGGAGGAAAGCGTTAACAGTGGACAGTGCAATCTCCAGTCAGTCTGTTAGCTTGGTGAAGAAAGTGCGGTGGAGGAAGAAGGAGCAGGGAATTGCTTTGCCATCCTAGTCTATGGGGCTGTGCGTTTCTATTGTTGCACACAGTGTAGGGAGACAAAACTCTATTTCCTGCATGCAAGGATGATGTCATAGAATACTACAAGAGAAAGGAGTCACCCTTAAACAGTAACCCTGGGGCAGTGGTCATGGCACCAGCTTAAACTGAAGTATAGGCAAGGATTAAAAGATAAAGAAGCTGCTTACTCAGCAAGTAATTAAATCGGTTGCAGAAAGTGCTGAGGGTTTAATATCACTTTCAAAGTGGTTGTAAAGGCTGAAGCTTTTTCTGTACCTTCATGCATTCTATGCACGAAGGTAAAAAACCTGTGTGCAGCAGCTCCCCCAGCCCCCTCAATACTTGAGCCTCATCGCGATCCAGCGATGTGAATGACTGACAGCCTCGGCTGTCTAGGGTCTCTGCCTACTCATTGGCTGAGAACGTAAGCAGGAGCCATTGGCTCGCGCTGCTGTCAATCACAGCCAGTCAGCCAATGAGAGAGGGGACATGGCCAATTAGCTCTGTATGTGAATGGACACACAGAACAGTGGGTGCCCCCATAGCAAGCTACTTGCTGTGGGGGCACCCGACAGAAGGAGTCAGGAGAGCCTGTGGGAAACCCAAAAAGAGGAGGATCCAGGCTGCTCTGTGCAAAACTACTGCACACAGCAGGTAAATATAGACATGTTTGTTATTTTACATAACAAAAAAAATTAACCTTTTAGAATCTCTTTACTGTTCAGCAAGTGCAGGTCTTTCAATGAAAATAAATTCTGGGTTTAAACATAATATGTAAATCTGCAGAATTGGGCATTGGGATACATATTAAATAAAATATACTATTTCACGATGGTTGCTAGGTTTACTTTATTTATTTAAAATGCTTTGTCTGCAAAATGTGCCCGTGTTAGGAAGGGTTAATATACTTAAACTATACTTTTGAAAAGCACTCTAAAAAAGGATCATCTAGCGTGTCTAGACACTTCTCCCTGTATGTTGGCAAGCTGGGTCATGCTGATCGGGCAAAGCTTCAGAACTTCTGTTAGTGACAGTGGCTACCCCTACTGCCTCCCACATATTTCTGTTGGCCAGTGTAACAGATCATCGTAGTTGCAGGCCAAGAGAATTTGTGAGTGAGAAGGTGTGTCAAGCTCCGACAGTGCCAGGAAGTCTGGGAACTTTCCCCATTCAGAACAGCCTGGCATTTGGGTGTAGAGCAGACCAATACATCTGGGTGCTTGGATGTTTGCTGTGTTTTTATAAGTGACAGAAAATAATGTCATTTTTCCACACACTATAAATAAAAACAAGTTTTAAAAAGTGTTAATACTTTCTTGCGCTTCTCTCTTTTTTTTCAGAATTGTATGATTATTGTATCAGAGAGGGGTATGCAGACAAGAATCTTATTGCAAAATGGAAGAAACAAGGTTATGAAAACTTGTGTTGCTTACGCTGCATACAGACCAGAGATACAAATTTTGGAACCAACTGCATTTGTCGAGTCCCCAAGAGCAAGCTTGAAGTGGTAAGAGTTTTATCTTGTTGATGTTTTCCTTTACTTTTTATTTTCAGAATGGGAATATGTGTGTGTTTTGTTTTTGCATATGATGTGCATTATAGTATGCTTCAGTGCGTGTGCTTTGTCCGCTACTGTATTAGTGCAGTTGGGGTGCTATTCAAAATGAATCGCATTGCAGCACACCTTGGTTCACGCTGTGGTGGTTTATGTAAGAATTTATTCTAAATATATAAGGCGATGTCCTTTCCCTTGAATAAAATATTGCAGTGCCTCCAGCCGTTAAAATACGGCAAATATTTAATGAACCAATAATTTGGACACCTTAATAATTTGATCACCACTTAATAATATACCTTGAGTCCTTTTAGCCAATATGATTTTGTACCATATACACAAAAATTGCCTTATAATAAATAAATTTTATTTATGTACAAAATTTATATATATATTGACACAAACGCAAAAGACTGGTGATAAATGGATAAATGGAAAAATATAATATACTAATTCTATACACCAAACACAGATATAGATAATAGTAAAGATTAAAATCGAATTTAGTGATAAGTGGTAATTTATAGTACTTCAGAGATCATTTCTCACAAAACGTGGCCATAGAAATGTGAGAAAATATTCCCTGATAAATCGCACTATAACCAACTACAAATTAATGAATTATGCAATATCTATAATTTCAATATCTAATCAAATAATTTTTAGCAGTAATAATTATGTATATCTCTATATACTAAACACCCAATACAATTACTATCAATCTATGCAAGAGAGGAAATATAAAATACAATATCAACTCTTAGCAGTCTCACCACACCCAGAACCTGGATTATGAGGCCTCCCCAGCGGATCCAGTGGCAGTTGAAACTCCTTCAGAAGAATGGCCGCAGGGAGCAAGTGAGAGATAGTGCAATAGGTTGTAGTGTTGAGAAAAAGTGTAGGAGTGTAGAAGTTCAGAAGTTTAGGAGAAGTTTAAAAAAAATTGAGAAGCAGCTCTTAGAAGATTTAGAAGTAGTATTGAAAGATTGAGAAGTAGTTCTTCAGATGGGACAGATTTCAGCTCTTCAAATCCTCCTCCTTGTCGGTTGTTTTTTCTTTATCTTTTTTTCTTTTTAGCATGACCATTATGTGAGGTGCATGGCTTTTTTATACCATCCAAACCTTTGTTTTAAAAGACCCTCCCAACAGGCTTTTTGATTGGCCGGTCGAGAAGTGTGTGTACATAAGATATCTCTCACCTGTCCACTGGGGGGCAGTCAGGGATCACAAAACAACTTGAGTATTAATGATGACTCATGCCTTGATTGGAAACCAAGGTAACTTAGATATTAAGTATATATATGGCTTATCCAAATATAGTTGATTTTACTACTCATTCTTGGATAAGAACCATAGAAAGGTATATGTGCATTCAGTTTTTCATTTCCCTGAGATTCAAACTTGTGTGAAACATTTGCTTTCTGATGGAAACATACACTTGATACCAATTCACAAAAATATCTTACTTTTCACCATTTCATACTTAATTTAGTGGTATGCAATCCCCAACTCTGCTGCATATATTTTCCTTTGATAAAAGTGTTAATAATATGTCTTTTTATAATGTCTCTGTGGGTAGATATCAACTTCTTGGCTTCATGTGTCCTAAGTTTAACCTTTTGGTTTTAGGAATGAAGTTTTCATGAGTAGGAAACCCTCTGTTTACCTGTTGATTGTGTGTGAGTTAAGGTAAACAGCCAGTTCTACTTTTAACCTTGGTGGACAATAGTACATTAGTATATTAACAATAGTTTGTTGGTTCATCACACTCTCCAAGGTTTTATTTAATCTTCTCAGACCTACAAGTCTCATCTCACCATTGTTATTTTGGTCGGGTGTGATGACTCACTGTTTGGAAGTCCAACAGTGGTATTTGACTTTCTAATTAAGTCTCCTGCCATTGAAGTATCTCCTAGCCATAGATCATGGCATTTGTTTAGAAAACATACTTTTGCCAGGTCTTAGAGTAACCAACATCCAGATCCCACCATTATCTTTTCTGGGGCTTTGTTTGATCACCTGTAGAGATTCAAATAGCATATTGTCTCTGGAACAAGTCTCTTCCACTCATTGTGTGTGTGATTCTAGAAGGTCACTTGAATTCTAATCAAGAAAGGTTAACCCCTCACAGACAACTAGGCTTCTTACTGTTGGAATAAAATCATATTTTTAAGGAATAGTCCCCCAAAAGTCACTACAACGCATTAAAGTAGATATAATGTGACAATATACACTTTCATTTTATAAAATCAGCATTGTGTCAGCACTACAAACTATAGTTATTTTTGGCACTCTTATACAGTCTTCTTAATTTAAAAATTTCCTTTCATGATGTGAGCGCTACCTGTACCTGATTTTTAATCACAGAGGATGCAGGAAAAAAAAAACTCCCTCTTCATTTGTACAATCCTGTGCACATAGTAACAATCGCTTGCTATATGTGGGATGCCAAGTCCAGGTTGTACTGTAGCCATACATTCAAGTGTGCCCTGAAGCTCCTCCCTCATGATTTCACTCAAGCTCCTACCTGCTCGTTATATCCGTTTACTTCATCGGAGGTACACGGTTGTCGCAGTGTTCCCATTGGAAGACTTCCCCCTTTTTTTTCTGTTCCAGTGGCCATTCAAAATTTTAGATTTACCCTCACTTTCATTTCTGATGCCCTTGGTGATGAGGACAATCAGAGAGAGTGATTCTTCTTAACAGGGACATAGTAATAACAATCAGACAGGGGTTCTAACCCTTCAACACTATCCGAATCTTAAAAGAAAAAAAAAACAATTCCAGAAGCGCAAAGAAAAGTTTAAGGATCTCAGTTTTTTTTTTTTTGTCCCCCCCCCCCCCCTTTATTTTATTTCAAAGTATTTACACGCAGCCATAAGCTGAGCATTTGGTCACGACTTACATGAGACACCAGCATGCTTTTTGTTCTCTTTTAGGTGGCCCTCAGAGTTACTAGAGAGCCATGTAGTTGTAAACCAGATTTTCACTAACATTTTCCAAAAATAAATCTTTATAATAATACAACAACAAAATGTGGAAGAGCAGACTTGTAAAAATATGAAAGTCATGAAAAATGCTTAAAAATTGCAGTCATAACTTAAAGTGATTGTCTCTTTTAAAATACAAACTTATTAGACTTGCCTGCTCTGCAATGGTTTTGCACAGAGCAACCCTGATCCTCCTCTCCTGGAGTCCCCCCACTGGTGCTCCTGGCTCTTCCTGCCTTTTGAGTGCCCCCATAGCAAGCCATGGGGCACTTGTGCGGGCTTGATCCTAAGCGGCACTGTGTGCTTCTGAAACAACAGTGCTGCTCAGGCCTTACCAGCCATACCCCCACCCGATCCCTCCTCACTGGATTTGATTGACAGCAGTAGGCATAGCACTCAGGTAAGTATAAGGGATGAATGGAGGGGGGGGAGCTGCACGCATTCGGGTAAAAACCTTTACAAGCACTGTGCTTATTACAAATGGGTTAATATTATGTTTAACCCTTTCTTCTGTATGTTAGAAATTACTTTATAGCACTGATGGATAAAAAAATTTTGATTTATATTTATTTTTTGTGTGGTGTGTGTGTTGTTTTTTTTTTTTTTTTTGCTTTCCATGTTAAAATTACAGTCCATCATATCCAACCCCAAAATAAATCTTAATGGAAAAGAAGTTAGTCTAATTGTGGGTTTGTAAAGTTGTGAGATAACATACATTTTCTTTGTTTTAGGGAAGAATTATTGAGTGCACACATTGTGGCTGCAGAGGATGCTCTGGATAAAGACTTTTTTTTTCATTTATAGTGTTATTTTAAAATGGTAATTGTTTGTTCCCAATATGTTCATGCTATTCATTGTTATGTTTAATAAACTTGTTGTCCAAGTTTTGTTTGCTTTTTATGTGCGATTTGTAGTCTGACTTTCTGATTTCAGTCCCTGCTGTGGTATAGTTGACCAAATATAGATGGGTAAAATACCTAATATTGTTATGTAAATTATGCAGACATACTGTGCTCTGTACTTGCTGATAATCTTTGCCATAACTTTATGACCAACCACTTAATATTGAGTAAGTCCTCCTTTATCTGCCAAAACAGCCCTGACCCTTCAAGGTATGGACACCTCTAGACCTGTGAAGGAATAGTGTGGTATCTGGCAGTCAGCAGCAGATCCTTTTTAAGTCCTGTAAGTTGTGTGTGTTGAGTTTGTGTTTGTTTTTTTTCTTCTGAAAGGTTAGAAGAAAAATTAGAAAGTCTAAGGGGGTTACCTCAGAAACTGAGGGGAATTAAGCTCAGATCAAGGCAGTGGATGAGGTAACCGGAAACGTGTCTTCTTTCCCCAAGGAAAATACCCCATGAGGAAAGAGGCGGAAAAAAAAGTGGGGGGGGGCAGGGAAGAGCAGGTAAGAGACATGGTGAAAGAACCAAGGGGGAATTATGAGGAAAACCACCTCATAATCCCAGTAGTAAGGAAATGTTTTTTGGTGACTAGGGTCAGATGCGAGATAAATGGTCCTTGGTAATCTATCTCCGGTCAGATAAAGAACAAATAGGGGATGCCTGTTACCATGTGTCAAGGGCGTAGTTTGTCATATAATGAGACAAATTTCCAGAACTGCTGTAATCTATATTTATATGCCAGAATGTTATGACTAAAAGCTTGGACAGCTGAAGTCTTCTGCAAAAGGAGCCTCACAAGTATGCCCTTCCATGGAAGATGTCTTTTCAGTGAGGCCCTTTACTAATTTATCAAACAGGTCAGAGGTGTTGTGAGAGATCAAGGATGAGGAGTGATCATTATTGTTGTTGAGGCAAGAGTCCGCTGGCCGACATGGAATGCAAAACTCTTCTATCCAAGAAATACATTTTCTCGCAGCAAAAAGTTCAACGGTTCTTTTCCAGAGAGATGCAGTTATTGGGTTCCGGCACACGACACAAGATAATTACAAATATTCTGCTGGATTTGGACATCTGTTGCAAATACTACAACGAACAGCAACCCTCAGAGTCCCATTTAAAATGCTGCATATCAAGCATAGAGATGCTACACAATCCAGCATATGTCCAATCTATAATATGTACCTAGGTAGCTTCCATGCATGCAATAATGTGTGTTATAATCTTGCCCTGTGCTTCCATAATGATGTGTATGCAATAAAAAAAAAAAAATCCTTTCTGGATATACAATTTCTCCACCCTCCTCTTCTAAAAACAGCTGATTGGTTGGTCAAGTACTTTTCATCCTAACATGAAAAGACGTACTTGCATTTTACTGAAAGCAACAATTAAGATTTACAATTAAGCTACAGTGTCTACGAACCCAGTTATCCAGGACAGTAAACAACTGAACATCTAATCAATTAACATTTTTCTCATTACAGTTACAAAAGGTACCACTTGCCTGCTGAGTAGAATTGGCATAAAAATAGTCTGCTAGTTCCATCAATCTCGATGACCTACCTGTTTAATGTTTTTAACCACTTGCCCACTGCCCTATAGCAGAACTACTGCTACAGGGCGGTACGGCTGCGCAAAGTGTGTGTGTGTGTGTGTGTGTGTGATTTGCATTTCCGGGTAGGGGGTGTATGCGCTGCCCTACCCGCGCCGCTGTTGGCTGCTGGGGATGTCAATCACCGGGTCCTGGCAGGGCTGAGAGGGGAGAGATCTGTGTGTAAACAACACAGATATTTCTCCTGTCAGCATGGACATGCTGCTTTGTATCTCTCGCCACAGCAGCGAGATACAAAGCAGCATGTCTCCCCAGTAAAATGGCATACAGCACACAATGTAAAACAAACGGCACAACTATTAACCCTTTGATTGCCCCAGATGATAACACCTTCCTGCCCATTGTCATTAGTACAGTGTCAGTTCTTTTTATTAGCACTGATCACTAGTGTCATTGGGGATGTCAGTGGCAGTTCCCACCCAGTGTGAGAATGCCCACCGTGGTCCTGCTATAAGTCGCAGATTGCCGCCATTACTACTTTAATAAAAACAAAAATTCCAGCATATATATATATATATATATATATATATATATATATATATATATATATATCTCCATTTGTAGACACCATAACTTTCACGTAAATCAATTAATATACACTTATACGGATTTTTTCTTTCTTTGGCCTAAATGTATGAAGAAATTGGATTTCTTTATTGGATATATTTTATAGCAAAAAGTAAAAAAAAAAATATTTCTTTTTAAATGACGTTTTTATAAATAAATAAATAAAAATAAGCAGCGTGGGGTTCCCCCCCAATCCAGATTTGTTTTTTTAATTTATTTATTGCTTATATTATTTATTTTAATTGTTCATCTTTATTTGTTTTGTTTTTTTTTCAGGGAGAGTATTCTCCCCTCTGTCTTAAATAGTGTGGGGTGGATACTGTGCACTGTGAGAGTGCAGTACATTGTGGGTGTTTGGCAGGCAAACAGTTGGTGGTGCCTTCACACCATAATCCTTCAGAGTTATTCTTGATGAGAGCAGGATTGGATCCTGCTCTAAAAATTCAAATTATAGGCACCTTAAAACAAGTGCTAAAAAATTGAGCCTTGGGTGTTGGTGGTGCCCTAAACCAAAAAAAGTTGGAATATAGCAAATTCAGAAATGGGATAGGCAGTCTTTAAGGGATCCCAGATCCCTAACAAATTTAATCAGTTACATCAGCATAAGGGGCACGATAGTTGCTGCTGTTCCAGGACTGATTAATTTTGATAAATGTCAGCTGGTCATCAGTGTCTGAACAGGTGCACTCTTAACTGTCACAAAACCTCCAGCAGCATTGAATGTCCATTCGGAAAGCATGCTGGATGCAGGACAAGCCAGTAGCTTGATGGCATATTGAGCAAGGTCTTGCCAGTGATCCAAACTCAAGACCCAGTAACCCAGTGGATTCTCAGTTGGAAAGGTCTCCAAGTCTGCTCTTGCCCCTAGATTATCCTGCACTATATGATGCAGACGCTGTTGATGGGTACTTACACCTAACAGCCCTGGGCGCTGAGGACTAAATAACTATTTAAAGGAATCGGTCAGCCGCCTACCTTCTCCACTGCTCTTCCTTTGACAGAATTAAGCCTCAGAAACACGTCCAGGAAATGGTAACCTCCCATTGTCTGGAAAGATGTTACACAACTTTTTTTTCAAGGTGTCCTCAAGAGGATTCATCCTCTGTTCCCTCTGCGAAGACTGAGTTCTGCAACTTTACCCTTGTAACGTGGATCAAGAAGGGTTGCCAACCAGTATTGATCCCTCTCCTTGATAACACGAATTCTCAGGTCCTTATGCAGGCTTTGCAATACCAGGGAACCAATGCAGCATAAGTTTGAGGAGGCAGGAGCTTCTGGGTCATTGTGGATGACATTGTCAGGAACTACCTCCTTCCAGCCACGTACTACCCCGGCTGGGTTTCCAGGGACTGAAAACTGCCCCTTGAAGAGTGCTCTATATGATCGTCTACTTCCATGCTGCTGCAATCCTCATCCTCCTGATGTGTGTTCTACAGCCCCCCAGAAATGGTTTCTGCATAAAGGGGGCCTTGAGGGGACAGGAAATCCTCTTCCTCCTGCTGTTCTGCCTCAAGTGCCCTGTCCATGATTCCACACAGCATGTGCTCCAGCAGGAAGACTAGAGGGATAATGTCACTGATGCATGCAGTGTTGTGGCTCACCATCCTTGTGGCCTCCTCCAATGGTGACAGGACAGTGCATGCATCCTTTATCAGTAGCCACTGGTGTGGCAAAAAGAAGCCAAGCTCCCCTGAGCCTGTCCTTGTGCCATATTCACACAGGTACTCAATGATGGCCCCTCTGCTGCATGTGCAGCTGCTGCAGCATTGCCAAAGTTGAGTTCCATCAAGTGGGTATTTCACAAATGAGACGGTTGGTGGGCAGGATGACTTCCCATTGAATTTCAGCCAGCCAAACATGTATGACTGCCAGAAATGGACAGACTTTTCTGGCCTGCCTCAGAAGATCTTGAAAGCCTGGGTGCCTGTTCAAGAAATGCTACACCACCAATTCAGGACGTGTTCCAAGCAAGGAACATATGTCGTGTCCCTGTTGGAGGGCGGAGAGAAGGTTGGTGTCATTGTTGCATACAACCATTCTTGGCTCAAGCTGCCATGGTGTCAACCACCTTTGAGCCTGCCCCTGCAGAGCTGATAGAATCTTTGGCCCAGTGTGGCTCCTGTCTGCTAGACAGACCAGCTGAAGCACTGCGCAGCATCTTTTAGCCTGACTGCTTGTGTAGCCCCTTGAACGCTTACAGAGCACTGCTGTTTAGACAATTCAGCAGAAGCCACAGAGGAAGAAGAGGAGGGCGTGAAGCAGACGGATGTGGCAGAATCAGCACTAGCTTTTTGGAGGCGTAGTGGCAGAACAAGCTCCAGCACTGAACCCTGTCCTGCATCCTTCCCAGCTGCTAGCAGTTACCCAGTGCACCTTGAAGGATATGTAACGTCCCTGACCATGCCTGCTGGACCACGTGTCAGCAGTACCGAGACCAAAACATTGCCTTCCACATGATGGTACAGAGCTGCAATGGCCTTACGTGAAAAGGATTGTCTTTTCGGAACCTGCCACTGTGGTACAACACATTCTGCAAATTCAGGGAAGGGGGCAGAGTTCATCAGATGGAAAGGCAGCAGTTGTAACGCTAGCAATTTGGCTAGGCTAGCATTTAGATGCTGAGCATGTTGATGGGTGGGAAAGTATATATATTTTTTTTATGGTTCAGCAACTGGGGTAGCAAAATTTGCCTGCTGAAATCAACAGG